AGCTAAGACTGAATGCATTTCAGCATAGATGGTCACCACAAAATTGTACATTGGCTCCTGGCCGGCCTGGGCCGGGGCCAAGGCAGCGGGGGTCGTTCCCTCACTGTTTCCAGGATGACTTCACGGGCCACATGAAACCACATCGCGGGCCGCATCTGCCCCCCCCCCCCGGCCTTGTGTTTGACATGTCTGAGTTAGTAGAACATACAAATGTTAAAACTGTGGACAGAAATGACCATTTCATTACTCTTTTATTTGCAAAGCATCTTCCCTTTACACTGAAAGATGATTACCATACAATCCTTTTAAAGCTGCCCATGCATATGAAAGGCAATCAGCTACAAGAACCAGCTACTTTCGAAAAAGCACAGATTTGACACAATTCCTACAAAAGAGCAAAATCAAGGGACAAGTTTAAGAGGAGGGGGATCTCTTTACGTTTGGGAAACTGAGCAGACTTGTTGCTCAGAAGCAATTCTCTTTGCATTCTCACATTACGCCACGTCACTTGTTTTAAAAGATCCTTCCATTTGCAAGTCCCTTTAAAAAAAAAAAATCTGGTAGTCCTTGACTTATAACCCAAAATTTCTGTGGCTAAATGCGAGAGTTGTTAAAATGAGTTTTGCCCCATTTTATGAGATTTCCTGCCGCTCTTGTTAAGTAAATCGTTGCTGTTGTTAAGTTAGTAACACGGTTGTTACGTGAATCTGGCTTCCTCATTGACTTTGCTCGCCCTGGGACACGGCAACCGTCATAAGTATAAATCAGTTGCCAAGCAGCTGAATTTTGATCATGTGACTGTGAGGATGCTCCAACAGTCGTAAGTGTGAATGGCCATAAGTCGCTTTCTTTTCCAGTGCCGTTGTAATTTTGAACCGTCACTAAACGAACGGTTGTAAGTTGAGGACTATCTGCATTGCAACATTTTCAGAATAGACTCTCTCCATCCAAGATCTTTCCCCTTCCACTGCGAGTTTTTCAGAAGGGTTACAGTGATTAGTTTTCAGTTGCCTTTTTTTCAAAATCCAAAATTAACTTGCACATTCAAGGTAATCAAAGTGCTGGATTTTACACTGTAACTAAGGAGCTTATCATGCTGGAAAGACCTCAGGGTTACAATAAAAGAGAGAGAGAGACTAACGTAATATAAATAGCAAAAACCTAAAACTAAATATGGATAACAAACGCAATCTAAAATTAAAATATACATAACGTACAATAGAATCAGAAACTCAATGTCAGGGTTTAAAACTCAGAAGAGGTTGGATGAACATGACAGCGATTTGAGAAAAATTCTGTTCATAGATTTAAAATTTCAAGTACCTTTGGTAAATGACCCAAATCCACCCTTCTGTCAAAATCCAATTATATTTCATCTCTAGCTCTTTAGAAGGCCAGATCCTGAAGTTGAAATTCCAGTACTTTGGCCACCTAATGAGAAGCAAGGACTCACTGGAGAAGGGCCTAATGCTGGGAAAGATCGAGGGCAATAGAAGAAGGGGACGACAGAGAATGAGGTGGCTGGAGGAGTCCCTGAAGCAGTAGGCGTGGGCTTAAACGGACTCCAGAAGATGGTAGAGGACAGGAAGGCCTGGAGGAACGTTTTCCATGGGGTCGTGATGGGTCGGACAGGACTTCGCAACTAACAACAGGTTTGGGTAATGAAACGCCTGCAAGAAAACAACCAAGCTCCGAGAGCGCCGAGGACTCCTCTCGTGTTCAAATCTGGTCCCACCTTAGATCTCTACACCAGATTCCAACATTCTAGTCTGAGCGTTCCAGAGGCGACTGTCAAATTTGGCAACTGCGTGTGACAGGCATCGTTTGGCAGTTTATTCCCGTTAAAGCAACTGCATTCGAGTCGTTAAGCCACCGACCGGCCAGATCTAGTTTGCAAAACTGGGGCATTTTCGTAATTGTTTGAAATGGACTCCTGGTGCCGTCTCGACTCAAAAGATGGCGACTCTATTGTCTACATGCACAACAATAGCTAGTTTGGTGTAGTGGTGAAGGCACCAGGCTAGAAACTTTTTCCCTGAAATTAACTTGCAATATTCAAGGGAATCAAAGTATCAATCAGAATAGAGCTGGAAGGGACCTTGGAGGTCTTCTAGTCCAACCCTCTGCTCAAGCAGGAGACCCTATACCATTTCAGACAATGGGCTGGCCAGCCTTTTCTTAAAAACCTCCAGTGAAGGCAAAGCTGTTCCCCTGGTTAATCGTTCTGTCAGGAAATTTCTCCTTAGTTCTAGCTTGTTTGTCTCCTTGGTTAGTTTCCATCCGTTGTTTCTTGTCCTGTCTTCTGGTGCTTTGGAAAATATGTTGAGCCCCTCCTCTTTGGGTCAGCTCCTCAAATATTGGAATACTGCTATCCTGTCCCCCCCAGTCCTTCTTTTCTCTAGATTAGCCATATCCAATTCCTGCAACCGTTCTTCATATATTTTAATCTCCAGCCCCTTAATGGTCTTAGTCAGGGGTAGGCAACCTTGGCTCTTTTATGACTCGTGAATTTCAACTCCCAGAATTTCTGAGCCAGCCATGCTGAGGCAAAAAGGAGAGTTTCCAAGCTGAACCAGGCTGGCTCAGGAATTCTGGGAGTTGAAGTCCACGAGTCATGAGGGGGCCATAGTTCCCTCATGCTGGCTCAGGAATTCTGGGAGTTGAAGTCCACAAGTCATAAAAGAGCCAAGGTTGCCTGCCCCTGGTCTTAGTTGATCTTCTCTGCACTTTTCCCAGAATCTCAACATCTCTTTTTTTTGTAATGTGGTGACCAAAACTGGATGCAGTATTCCAGGTGTGGCCTTACTAAGGACTTATAAAGCGGTACTAATACTTCACGTGATTTTGATTCTAGGCCTCTGTTTATACAAAGTGCTGGGCTGTGGTTCCACCTTAGCCACAATCAAAATCTGTCGGCGTGACCGTGGGCCAGTCCCTCTCTTTCAGCCCAACCCACCTCACAAAGCTGTTGTTGTTGTTGTACAGAAAACAGGAGGAGGAAGGAGTATGTATGCATTTGTAAAAAAAATAATAATAGGGGCGGGATTTTAAAAATCATAAATAAATAAAGCCAGCCTTCCCTGGGATTTTTTTCCTCAAGACAAGCAACTCCTCAGATAAGCGACGCCTCAGACAAGCAAACAGAGGAGATTCTGTTTCCATTGCAGAGGTTTTCCTGCGCCAGAATTGTGCCCGGGTCACGTTGGAAATCTCACTCACGGGCATTTGAGGGGTTTAATGTCTGGCTAGAAAACATAACACAGCATTTATCCCTCTTTTTCTCAGGTTCCTGCAAGGGTCGGTCTGTCTTTCGTTAAACCTGTATAAGACGGCAATCTTAAATCGGGTTTGATCATTACGACTTTCTGCAGCTGTAGACAAGCACATCAATTCCCACTAAAAATAAAACTGGCCATAACATGCTTAATTCCTGTGCTGCTTTAGAGATGACAGCTTTGTTTTTTAAAAAAAGCATGCTGAAAATCTAACGCGGTCCTGGCTATTCATGCATCCACACTTATCCATTACGGGGTTCATGATTTTGGCAGCATCGCTTCAGGGCTTTTCAAACTTGGCAGCTTTCAAAGGGGTGGACTTCAACTCCCAGAATGGCTGGGGAATCCTGAGTTGTAATAATAATAGTAGTAGTAAAGTTGGAAGGGACCTTGGAGGTCATCTAGTCCAATCCCCTGCTCAGGCAGGAAACCCTACAGCATTTCGGACAAATGGCTGTCCAGTTTCTTCTTAAACACTTCCAGTGTTGGAGCATTCACCGCTTCTGGAGGCAGGTGGTTCCACTGGTTAATTGTTCTAACTGTCAGGAAGTTTCTCCTTAGTTCCAGGTTGCCGGGGAACTCTGGGAGTCGAAGTCCAGTCGTCTTAAAGCTGACAAGATTGAGAAACTCCCTCCTTTAAAAGACCTCTTCTTTGAAAACCAAACAATACAAATGTGTCTTTGCGGAACAGCGGCCTTGCGTCACGTCCACCTTGCTTTTTTTTTTTTTTTTTTAGATTTCTTTGGACCGCCTGTTCCTCACCCGCCATCTTGTTTGCATATTTAACTTTCTCCTCAGCTGACAAAAAAGGCTATCCCTTTTTGAATAGACCTTCTGCCATGTCCCTCTCAAACCTGGGTTTGTTAGAGGGAGTCAGAGCGAGCGGAAGAGGTTCAACATCTCTCTCCTGATTCAGCTAAAAAGGATCCCGTTTAAAAAAAACCACCCGTCTTTCAAGGCAGGACTTGGACCGCCTTTCAACGGCTTCGGTTCAATTATTCTCTTTGCTTCCATGTGGACTGAGAAGGGAGCCTGGGGGGGGACCAAACCCTGCAAGCTGAACTTGCTACCTCAGGAGCAAAATTTTTAAACCCTCAAGCTCTTCGTATTTTCCTCTCCTCCTGGAGCTTACTCTCTAAATCAGGGGTGTCAAACTCAATTTCACTGAGGGCCGCATCAGCATTGCGGTTGTCCTCGGGGGGGGGGCGGTGGCCAGGGTGGGTGAGGCCTACTGGGTGGGCGTGGATGGAGTGGGTGTGGCCTACTGGGTGGGCATGGCCAGCTCTACATTGTTCGCGTCAAGGGTGCCTGTGGGGGCCTGGGCAGGAGTGGGACAGATCTGAGGGTCTCTGGCAGAAAGGGGGGGGGGGACCAGGGCAGAGCCCATCAAGCCGGATCTGTGAAGTACGTGAGGGCCATTTTCTGGCCACTTCCAGGCGATGGTGCATTTCTTCATTCCTCACAAAGGGTGACACCTCCCCAGCATGCACCCAGGGGATGGGGCCGATGCGGCAGGGGCTGGTTCCTCGCTGTTTCCAGATGGCCTTGTGGAGCTAAGACTGAATGCGTTTCAACCTAGATGGCCAGCACAAAATTGTACATTGGCTCCCGGCCGTCCTGGGCCAGGGCCAAGGCAGCGGGGGCCGTTCCCTCACTGTTTCCAGGACGGCTTCGCAGGCCACATGAAACCACTTCGCGGGCCGCATCCGGCCCCCGGGCCTTGTGTTTGACATGTCTGCCCTAAATTGAGTCTTTGTAGAAAGAAAGAAAGATATATATATATATATATATATATATATATATATATATATATATGTATCTCCAATCACTGCCTCAAGCCGAAGGATGAAGACGTCCAGGGATGTCATGCTTCTTTGTGGAACTGAAAGACACTGGTCTCTTTCCCCCCCAAAAATAAGAAACAAAAATCCCTGCTTTGCGATTTCGGATCAATAAACCCGTCCTTGGAAATAAAAAAAAAAATACGTGTTTCGTTTTTCTCTTTCCTGTCCGTTCGAAACCCTCACAGGGCTAAAGTCCTGTCCTCTGTGAATTCCTTCATCACCAGGATGGCCTGCTCGCCCACCGAGGTCTCCTGAATTGTCCACAGGTTCGGCATGCCTGCCTCTCCGGCCTCAGCGGGAGACGTGTATGTCGAAAGGGGCCAGGGAAACGGCTCGGCGGGGTGAGCGTACTGGTAATAGCTCCCCTGGGCAAAGCTCCCGATATCCAAGAAGATATTGGTCCCGACGGAGGCCTTCGCCCCGCCCTTGGCTTCCAAGGTCTTGTGGCGCTTGGCGTCGTGCGTGTTCTGGTGCCGGATGAGGTGGGAGCTCTGGTTGAAGCTCTTCCCGCACTCGGTGCACCGGTAGGGCTTCTCTCCCGTGTGGATTTTCTGGTGCCGGAGGAGCGTGGCCAGGTCGTTGAAGCTCTTCCCGCACTCGGTGCATTTGTAGGGCTTTTCCCCCGTGTGGATCCTCTGGTGGCGGAGGAGGGTCCGACGGTCGCTGAAGCTCTTCCCGCACTCCGAGCACTCGAAGGGCCGCTCCCCGGTGTGCACGCGCCAGTGGGCCTCCAGGTTGGACTTGTCGCAGAAGCTCTTGCTGCAGCTGGAGCACTGGTAGGGCTTCTCCCCGGTGTGGCTCCGCCAGTGGGTCTTCAGGCTGTACTTGTTGTAGAAGCTCTTGCTGCAGCTGGAGCAGTGGAAGGTCTTCTCCCGGCTCTCCACGTGGGTCTTCTGATGGGTGATCAGGTTGGTGGTCCGATTGAAACTCTTCCCGCACTCGGGGCACTTGTAGGGCTTCTCCCCGGTGTGGATCCTCTGATGGCGGAGGAAGCTGGTCTTGTCGCAAAAGCCCTTGGTGCAGACGGTGCATTTGTAGGGCTTCTCGCCCGTGTGGATCCGCTGGTGGACTTTCAGGCTGGCCTTCCGGGTGAAGCTTTTCCCGCACACTTTGCACTGATTCTTCCTCTTGCCCTTGTAGGTCTTCGGCTGGGCCAGCACGGCACTGTGGTCGCTTCCCTGGGAACTGTCTTTATTCAGCCGCTCTTTGGGCTGGCTTTCTTTCTTCTTTCCCGGCTCTTTGAGGTTCCCAAAGTGGCTGACTGCGTCTTCGTCCTCCGTGTCTTCTGACAGCACCCCGTAGGGCTCCCATTCACTTCCGCTTTCACCGAGGTCACCTAGTTGGAGAGAGAAAAAGAGAGAGGGGGGGGGGAAGAGGAAGAAAGAGAAAAAATGGAGAAAGAAAGAAAGAGAAAAAGAAACAAAAAGAAACAGAAAGAAAGAAAAAAGAAAGGAAAAAGAGAAAGAGAGAAGCAGACAGACAGAAAGAAAGAAACAGAAAGAGACAGAGAAAAAGAAAAAGAAAGAAAGAAAGAGAGAAAGGGAGAAAAAGAGAAACAAGAAAGAAGCAGAAAGACAGAAAAAAGACAGAAAGAAAGAGACAGAGAAAGAAAGAAAGAGAAAAAGAGAGACAGAAAGAAAAAGAGAAAGGGAAAAAGAAATGGAGAAAGAGACAAGCAGACAGACAGAAAGAGAAAGAGACAGCAGGAAAGAGAGAGAGAAAAGAAAAAAGAAGCAGAGAGACAAAAAAGACAGAAAAAGAGAAAAAGGGAGAAAAAGAGAGAAAGAAAGAAAGAAAGAAAGAAAGAAAGAAAGAAAGAAAGAAAGAAAGAGAGAGACAGAAAAAAAAAGAGAAAGGGAAAAGAGAAAGAGAAATGGAGAAAGAGACAAGCAGACAGACAGAGAAAGAGACAGAGAGAAGGAAAAAGAGAAAGAAAAAGAGAAAGGGAGAAAAGAAAAAAGAGAAGCAGAGAGACAAAGAAAAAAGACAGAAAGAAAAAGAGACAGAGAAAGAGGGAGAGAAAGAAAGAAAGAAAGAAAAAGAAAGAAAGAAAGAAAGAAAGAAAGAAAGAAAGAAAGAAAGAAAGAAAGAAAGAAAGAAAAGACAAATTCTGTATTACAAAGGGGCAAAATCAAACAGGTTTGCCAGATGTATCAATGTGGCCACTGAGGAGCTGAAAATGGATTTTTTTTTTTTGAAATATTAAAGCAAAACAAGGGATAAGGAGGGTGAATTATATTTCAACTTACTGAGAATGTTATCTAGTTAAGGGATGCTATTTGAGAAAAATATTGTCCCTGTTCAGGTAAAACATGAAAGAGTGCCCAACCACAGAATAAGGCAACTCAGAAATAAATAAAAGGGCAATCCGTAAATGTACAAAACATTTTTTTAAAAAAAAAAATAGAGATAGTCCGTGATTTACAACATCAATAATTCATTAAGTGGTGCGGTGCTTAAGTGAGATATCATGTCACCCCGCTCCATTTCATGACCTTTTCTGCCACAGTTAGAGCAAATCACTACGGTTATTAAACAAGATGCCCCCCCCCCCGACTATGACTCGCGACCTTCTCTGCTGGCTTCTCCATTGACTTTGCTTGTCAGAAATGGTCTGGAAAGGTTGCAAATGGCAATCACGTGACTGTGTGTGTGAGAGGGTGCTGTTAAGGGTCATAGATCTGAGGACTGGTTCTAGGTCGCTTATTTCAACGCTGACATCATTTCAAAATTCACAAAACGAACAGTCATACTTAAAGCCTTAAAAGGAAGCCTTATGAAATTTTGCAGAACTTTAACAGAATACCCAAGTTGGATGGGACCTTGGTCCTACATTTAGGCAAGAAAAACCAAATGCACAAGTACAGCATAGGTGGCACCATGCTCAATATTAGTAACTGTGAGAGGGACCTCGGAGTCCTAGTAGACAATCACCTAAATATGAGCCAGCCGTGTGCTACAGCTGCCAAAAAGGCCAACACAATGTTAGGCTGCATTAACAGAGGGATAGAATCAAGATCACGTGAAGTATTAATGCCACTTTACAAGGCCTTGGTAAAGCCACACTTGGAATACTGCATCCAGTTTTGGTCATCACGATGTAAAAAAGATGTTGAGACTCTAGAAAGAGTACAGAGAAGAGCAACAAAGATGATTAGGGGACTGGAGGCTAAAACATATAAGGAACGGTTGCTAGAATTGGGTATGTCTAGCTTAACGAAGAGAAGGACGAGGGGGGACATGATAGCCGTGTTCCAATATCTCAGGGGCTACCCCAAAGAAGAGGGAGTCAAGCTATTCTCCAAAGCCCCTGAAGGCAGGACAAGAAGTAATGGGTGGAAACTAACCAAGGAGAGAAGCAACCTAGAACTAAGGAGAAACTTCCTGACAGTGAGAACAATTAATCAGTGGAACAGCCTGCCTCCAGAAGCGGTGAATGCTCCAACACTGGAAGTTTTTAAGAAGAGACTGGACAGCCATTTGTCCAAAATGGTGTAGGGTTTCCTGCCTGAGCAGGGGGTTGGACTAGATGACCTCCAAGGTCCCTTCCAACTTTACTACTATTACTATTACTAATATAGTTCATCATCAACCCCCTGCTCAAGCAGGAGACCCTATGCCAGTGGTGGCGAACCTATGGCATGCGTGCCAGAGGCGGCACTCAGAGCCCTCTCTGTGGGCACACGCGCCATGCCTTGGAGATGGCAACCGTCCGTCTTCAAACCAGCCGCCCGCTAACTCGCTGAGGTCCCACGTGGGCGGATGCATCCTGACACGGCTGGTTTCCCTCCCCCTGTCCTGTCCCTCCTGGCCTCGCACGCTCTCCTTTCTCCGGGCATGACCCACTGTATCGCCTCAGCTGTTGGCCAGCCATCCAGCTCAGAGACGGCTTCTTTGAACTGCTGGTGCCGGGCTGCGGAGCCCCAGAGTGTGTGGGTCGAGGGGCATGCACTCGCTGGCCTCTGTCTGCAGGGGCTGATAGTGTCAGGCAGCAGTCGCCCCGGTCCTTGCCTTGCCCCATGGCAATGGCACCCCCGCCCTGCCTCACGTCAACTCACAGGATGAGCCTCCTGCCTACCGCCCCATCTGCCAGAGACCCCCCTGGATCTCCCCCAACCCTGCCCACTCCCCCCACAGGTGTACCTCCCCATGAGAAACACGCACACCTTGGCCACACCCACCCAGTCTGCCATGACCACTACAGCCACGCCCACTCAGTGGGCCACGCCCACCTGGCACCCGGTGATAAATAAGTGGGTTTTGGGTTGCAGTTTGGGCACTCGGTCTCGAAAAGGTTCGCCATCACTGCCCTATGCCATTTCAGACAAATGGCTGTCCAGTCTCTTCTTAAAAACTTCCAGTGTTGGAGCATTCACCGCTTCTGGAGGCAGGTTGTTCCACTGGTTAATTGTTCTCACTGTCAGGAAATTTCTCCTTAGTTCTAGGTTGCTTCTCTCCTTGATTAGTTTCCATCCGTTGCTTCTTATATTTCCTTCTGTTGCTTTGGAAAATAAGATTGGCCCCCTCCCCTTTATGGCAGCCCCTCAAATATTGGAACACTGCTATCCTGTCCCCCCTCATCCTTCTCTTCATTAAACTAGACCAGTGGTTCTCAACCTTTTTAATGCCGTGACCCCCAACCGGTCGTAAGTCGAGGACTACTCAACTGGTGCAGCACCGTTTGCAGAATGGGACTTTTGGCGGGCTCAGCAGGGCAGAGACAGCCCGGACAATTCCTATTGGCTTTTGGAAAGCCAATAGAATTAGACTCTATTCAAGAGAGTCTATTCTATTGGCTTTCAAAAGCCGATAGAATAAAAGGGAGTAGCACAGCTAAGGAAAAGGGGGAAAAAATGGCGGACTGCGTTGTTTGGCGACCCCCGTGAAATGGTCATTCGACCCCAAATGGGGTCCCGACCCACAGGTTGAGAACCACTGAACTAGACATACCCAATTTCAGAAACCGTTCTTCATATATTTTAACCTCCAAGTCCCTAATCATCTTAATTGCTCTTCTCTGTACTCTTTCTAAAATCTCAACATTTTTTTTTTATAATTTCAAGAAAGACATCAATTAACCTATGATCTTTGGGGAACTCTGCTTTGGGTATGTAAAAATAGCTTTTTCTGGTGCCAAAATGACCTCTCTGGAGCAGGCATTCTTGTTGACGGGGCCAGGGTGGGGAGCAGTCTCCCCATTTTTGTGGATACTCACTTTCAGCCGTCCCCATCACAAAAGACAGCTTTCCTTGTGATCTTCCTGGCAATGCCTGCAGGGGCTCCTTGAGGTCTCCAGTACTCTCAGAGTCGGCTCCAGCAACTGTCTCGTCCTCTTTCAGCCACCGAGAAAAGCAAGAGAGAGGGAATGTTGGAAAAAAAAAAAACCTTACTGCTTTAGCTCAGGGGTGCCCAACCCCTGATCCGTGGACCGGTACTGGGCCGTGGCATACCAACAACTGGTCTGCACAAACAAGCAAGGCCCCCTCCGTGGGATGCAGGCAGCACACAAAACCACACACACTCTCTGGTCCGTGGAAAAATCTTTCTCCACAGAAACGGTCCCTGGTGCCCAAAGGGTTGGGAGTCTCTGCTTTAGCTCTTTCCAGGATGTAAACTAGCGGTTCTCATTTCCCGAAACAATTTTTCAAACTTGCTTATTTTAACAAGTTTCTTTGGTTTAAAAGGAGGGGGGGAAAGCCCATTCGTCCAGGATTAAAACAAACAAACAAAACAACAGCTGAAGTGCAAGCAAAGCACCACAAAAGAATGTGCATTTTATGTTATGTTATCTTATCTTATCTTATCTTATCTTATCTTATCTCATGTTATCTGGTGGTGCAATGGTTAGAATCAGTACTGCAAATTAACTCTGCCCACAGCTAGGAGTTCGATCCTAACCGGCTCAATGTTGACTGAGCCTTCATCCTTCCGAGGTCGGTAAAACGAGGACCCAGATTGTTGGGGGCAAATATGCTCACTCTATAAACTGCTTAGAGAGGGCTGTAAAGCACTGTGAAGCAGTCTATAAGTCTAAGGCAGTGATGGCGAACCTTTTAGAGACCGAGTGCCCAAACTGCAACCCCAAACCCACTTATTTATCACTGGGTGCCAGGTGGGTGTGGCCCACTGGGTGGGCGTGGGCTGTGGTGGTCAGGGCAGACTGGGTGGGTGTGGCCAAGGTGGGCGTGGTCACCTTGATATTGCTCATGGGGAAGGATGCCTGTGGGGGGCAGGCAGTGTTCGGGGAGATCCAGGGGGTCTCTGGCAGGTGGGGCAGTGGGCAGGAGTCTCGTCCTGTGGGGTGAGGCGAGGCAAGGTGAGACAGGGCTGGGGTGCCATTGTCGCAGAGCAAGATGAGGCATGGGCCGGGGCGGCTGCTGCCTGACACCATCAGCCCCCGCACACAGAGGCCAGCGAGCATATGGGGGCCGATGGCATCCATCAGCATCCACAGTCTGCCAGCCCCTCAACCGGCGCATTCTGGGGCTCCACAGTCCGCCACCAGACGTTCAGAGAAGCCGCCTATGAGCTGGACAGATGGCTGACAGCTGAGGAGGCGATGCAGTGGGTTGTGCCTGGGAAAAGGAGAGCATGCAAGGCCAGGAGGGATGGGACGGGGGGGGGAGGGAAACCAGCCGTGCTGGGATGCATCCTGCTACGTGGGATCTCGGCGAGTTAGCGGGCGGCTGGTTGAAGAGAGACAGTTGCCATCTCCGGAGCATAGTACATGTGCCCACAGAGAGGGCTCTGAGTGCCGCCTCTGGCACGCATGCCATAGGTTCACCACCATTGGTCTAAGGCAGTGGTTCTCAACCTTTTTAATGCCGCGACACCCAACCGGTCGTAAATCGAGGACTACTCAACCGGTTGTAAGTCGAGGACTACTCAACTGGTGCAGCACCGTTTGCAGAATGGGACTTTTGGCGGGCTCAGCAGGGCAGAGACAGCCTGGACAATTCCTATTGGCTTTTGAAAGCCAATAGAATTAGACTCTATTCAAGAGAGTCTATTCTATTGGCTTTCAAAAGCCAATAGAATAAAAGGGAGTAGCACAGCTAAGGAAAAGGGGGGAAAAAATGGCGGACTGCGTTGTTTGGCGACCCCCGTGAAATGGTCGTTCGACCCCAAATGGGGTCCCGACCCACAGGTTGAGAACCACTGGTCTAAGGGCTACTGCTATTGCTGCGTTCCTCAAAATTCTCCATTGTGCACAGGATAGCACAAAAAAAGATAGGAATTGAGGAGAAATCTCTTGGCTGTAACAGACAGCCTCACATTTTGATTTTTCTGCTTTTTTCCCCCCTCTCTCCCAAAACTCCATTTGTTTCATTTCAAGACAGGGCCTCAAGCACTAGCGCACTAGCCAGGAGAGCAGGATCTGATGCTACTGCGGGCCCGAAATCCCACATCCACGAAAGGCACAATATAAATCCTAAACAAAATCTTTCTTCGTTCAATACCTGTTGGTTTTTTTGGGCCAGTCTCGGTCGTTTGATTCTCTTCTTCTTCTTCCTTCTCCCCCCTCTGATTCCACAGATCGTCTTCCGCTTCTTTGCCCGGATCTTCCTCACTGGAGATTACCCTAACCGGGCACTTCTTGCTCTCACTCCCCCAGGTGTCACCTGCTGGAATCAAGCCCAAGGGAAAAAATTAAGGAGAAGCAGGATTTCCAGCCAGATCCTTTCCCCAATAAAGGTAGTCCTCGACTTACGACAGTTCATTTTGTGAAGTTACGACGGCGCTAAAAAAAAAGCGGACTTAGGGCCATATTTCAGGCTTACGACCATTGCAGCGCCTCCGTGGCGATGTGGCCAAAATTAAAACCCTTGGCGACCGACCCACATTTCTGACGCCTGCAACCTCCCAGGTTCACCCAATTTCCTTTTGCGGCCTTCTGACAAGCAAAGTCAATGGGGGAGCCAGTTGCACTTAACAACCGTGGTTGCTAGCTTAACAACCGCAGGGGTTCGCTTAACCACGGAGGCAGGAAAGGTCGTAAAATGGGGTAAAACCCACTAAACAAATATCTCGCCCGCTTTCCTCCCTTAACGGTTTAGCCCAGGGGTAGGCCACCTTGGCTCTTTGATGACTGGTGGACTTCAACTCCCAGAATTCCTGAGCCAGCACGGCTCAGCTTGGAAACCTCTCCCTTTCCCCTCACCATAGCTGACTCTGGAATTCTGGGAGTTGGTCCACGAGCCATAAAAGGGTCAAGTTTGAGTGCCCCTGCACTAGATTAACAAATAATCCAGGGCAGAGCTAAAACAGTATTCAGAGACCAGGATAGATCTCTCTAAAGCAGGAATAGGCAACCTTGGCTCTTTTATGACTCGCATTCACCGCTTCTGGAGGCAGGTTGTTCCACTGGTTAATTGTTCTAACTGTGAGGAAGTTTCTCCTTAGTTCTAGGTTGCTTCTCTCCTTGATTAGCTTCCATCTGTTGCTTCTTGTCCTGCCGTCAGGCGCTTTGGAGAATATGTTTTGCTTCTCATCCAAGAAGCTTCTTCAGCTCTGACTGGATAGTGGGGCCAGTCAGAGCTGAAGAAGCTTCTTGGATGAGAAGCGAAACATCTTCAAAGAAAAATAAGAAAGTCCAGTTGCTTCCTGAAAAAGCATCTTTGGGATGAATCTTCATTTACATATTGCATTTCATTTTGGGGAGAAATCCATGCAGTTAGTACATTCCAAGGTCCCTCCCAGCTCTATTCTGATTGATTGATTGATTGACTCTCTGACTCTACGCCTAGTCCAGCGGTAGGCAACCTTGGCTCTTTTATGACTCGTGGACTTCAACTCCCAGAATTCCTGAGCCAGCATGGCTCAGCTTGGAAACCTCTCCCTTTCCCCTCAGCGTGGCTGGCTCAGGAATTCTGGGAGTTGAAGTCCACGAGTCATAAAAGAGCCAAGGTTGCTTACCTCTGGCCTAGGCCGCTTTATGACTCGTGGACTTCAACCCCCAGAATTCCTGAGCCAGCATGGCTAAGCTTGGAAACCTCTCCCTTTCCCCTCAGCATGGCTGGCTCAGGAATTCTGGGAGTTGGAGTCCACGAGTCATAAAAGAGCTAAAGTTGCCTACCCCTGGCCTAGCCCAAAAAAGATATTTTCATTTTGACTGAAGAAGTTACTTGTATGAAAACACCTCAGTTTAATAAACTTTGATCCAGTTGCCAATTTAACCCTTTTTAGAAAATGTTGAAAATATTTTTTTTATGATAAAAAATATTGCGGTGCTCTTAACTTGCATTTGTTAGAATTTTATTTCATTTCTCAGGCAGGGAGAATTTTGTCAAACTTTGCAGAGCTCAGGAAATAAGAATCACTTGGATTTGGTGATCCTGTCGGAGGACATCCGTGTTAGGTTTATGGTGGCAAAAATCAGGAGGAATCTAATTTTTCCCAACTAACTTATTTTATTAAAAAGCACCGAGCTTTCCTGAACTTCAAATACCTTCCGCCATTTCATGAATGTGCCTCTTTCCTTTTAAATATGGGCACGAGGTGGATGAAAAAAAATCTACTGTTCCAGAGACAGAGTGACTTTCAAAACAGAAAACGTTTTCTAGATCGTGTCAATCCAGCCATTATTCTCTGGGTGGCTTTTTCTAAAAGTCCAACTTTATTTCCGGAAAATTGCTAGGCCAGCCCTGGAATAATCTGGCTGACATAGTTTGGAAGAGAAAGAGAACATTCCCTGGCAATTCCAAGATTCCAATAAAGAGGAATATTTGAGGCTCAGGGCTGAAATTGGAGGACCTTGGTGCTCTCTTGGTCGCTTTCTTGCAGATGTTTTGCTAGCACTGACAATGTTACCTAGTTGGGTAATGAAACATCTAGTAATAGTAATAGTAGTAAAGTTGGAAGGGACCTTGGAGGTCATCTAGTCCAACCCCCTGCTCAGGCAGGAAAACCTACACCATTTTGGACAAATGGCTGTCCAATCTCTTCTTAAAAACTTCCAGTGTTGGAGCATTTACTGCTTCTGGAGGCAGGTTGTTCCACTGATTAATTGTTCTCACTGTCAGGAAGTTTCTCCTTAGTTCTAGGTTGCTTCCCTCCTTGATTAGTTTCCACCCGTTGCTTCTTGTCCTGCCTTCAGGTGCTTTGGAAAAATAGCTTGATTCCCTCTTCTTTATGGCAGCCCCTGAGATATTGGAAGACTGCTATCATGTCCCCCCTTGTCCTTCTCTTCATTAAACTAGACATACCCAATTCTAGCAACCGTTCTTTATATGTTTTAGCCTCCAGTCCCCTAATCATCTTTGTTGCTCTTCTCTGTACTCTTTCTAGAGTCTCAACATCTTTTTTACATCGTGGTGACCAAAACTGGATGCAGTATTCCAAGTGTGGCTTTACCAAGGCCTTGTAAAGTGGCATTAATACTTCACGTGATCTTGATTCTATCCCTCTGTTAATGCAGCCTAACACTGTGTTGGCCTTTTTGGCAGCTGCCGCACACTGCTGGCTCATATTTAGGTGATTGTCTACTAGGACTCCGAGGTCCTTCTCACAGTTACTACTATTGAGCATGGTGCCACCTACGCTGTACTTGTGCATTTGGTTTTTCTTGCCTAAATGTAGAACCTTGCTTTTTTCACCATTGAATTTCATTTTGTTAGATGGCGCCCAGTGTTCAAGTCTGTCCAGATCCTCCTGTATCTTAAGCCTGTCTTCTGGAGTGTTGGCTATTCCTGCCAGCTTGTGAGAAAGCAACCAAGCTCAGAGACCACCAAGGACCCCTCAATTCCAAAATGGCCCATCTCCAAAACCACAGTTTGGAACGTCCCTCTTACCCTACTTACGTCTTTTTGCTGAACTTCAGTTTCACTGCCGTGCAAAAATGATATTTACTTTAGCTTAAATCTGTGTTACTTGCAATATGATCTCCAGCTGTCCCTCAATCCTAGATGGGGGGGGGGGGGCGGAATGATAACCATGAAAATCAACCAGCTGCTACCCTGAACCTGGCAATTTTGAAGCCACCCCCCCCCCAATGCAAGCGATCGGTCGCTACCTCTTTTCCCATCTCCTTCTTCAGAGTTTGGGCCTTGTCTTTCTTCTTTGTCTTCTAACCAGGAGATGAGCTCAGGTTTGGGAACTAAAGGCCCTTGTAGGAAAGGAAACAAATCACATATTGGGTTTTCTGACGAAATGGATAGGTGGTTGGAGGCTGAGGCAAGTTACCCGTTTCCTTGTGCTAATTTTAAAATGTGAATATGAAAGTCTAATAATAATCATAATAATCATAATAATCATAATAATCATAATAATAATGAACTGCTTCCATCCTGCGACGATACCTGTAATACCATCAAACATCCACCTCTGCCTATCCCAGGTCCTGGGTAAGGACTCGATAGGTAGACAAAATGCCAAATCCATCTGAACATCTGGCTGACTGTGCGATGATCAATAATAATAATAATAATAATAAAAAATAATAATGATGATGATGATGTTGGAAGGGACCTTGGAGGTCATCTAGTCCAACCCCCTGCTCAGGCAGGAAACCTTATCCCATTTCAGACAAATGGCTGTCCAGTCTCTTCTTAAAAACTTCCAGTGTTGGAACATTCACCACTTCTGGAGGCAGGTTGTTCCACTGGTTAATTGCTCTAACTGTCAGGAGGTTTCTCCTTAGTTCTAGGTTGCTTCTCTCCTTGGTTAGTTTCCATCTGTTGCTTCTTGCCCTGCCTTCAGGCGCTTTGGAGAATAGCTTGACTCCCTCTTCTTTGGGGTAGCCCCTGAGATATTGGAACACTGCTATCGTGTCACCCCTTGTCCTTCTCTTCATTAAACTAGACATATCCAATTCCAGCAATCATTCCAGCAATGTGTTTTAGCCTCCAGTCCCCTAATCATCTTTGTTGCTCGTCTCTGTACTCTTTCTAGAGTCTCAACATCTTTTTTACATCGTGATGACCAAAACTGGATGCAATATTCCAAGTATGGTCTTAACTAAGGCATTGTAAAGTGGTATTAACACTTCATGTGATCTTGATTCTATCCCTCTGTTAAGGCAGCCTAGGATTGCCTTGGCATTTTTGGCAGCTGGCTGATATTTATGATATATCATGATATTTATGCCATGATATTTATGATATGTTGTGATATTTATTGTAAGCCACCCTGTTGCTTTCTTGTTCTTCTGTTTGGCTTTGCATGGAGAACCTCATCCTTTACAACGATAAAGAAGGATCAAACAGACTCTTACCCAAAGAGACCACGGTCCCGTAGTTTTCCACCATGACTTCCCGGTAGAGAGCCCTCTGCTCTGGATCCAGCATGCCCCATTCGCCCTTGCTGAAGCGCACAGCCACTTCCTCAAAGGTCACAGGTCCCTGAGATGGAGGGGAGAGAACATCCCTTAGAACAGGGGTCTTCAAACTTGGCCCTTTTATGACGTGTGGACTTCAACTCCCAGAATTCCTCAGCCAGGCACGTGTGCCTGGCTGAGGAATTCTGAGAGTTGAAGTCCACACGTCATAAAAGGGCCAAGTTTGAAGACCCCCTGCCTTAGAGCCACACGATTTGGAGAGCCCCTCCCTCCCGTTAGCTCAGGCCGGCTTTCCCTAAACCAGCGCTTCTCAACCTGTGGGTCGGGACCCCATTTGGGGTCGAACGACCATTTCACGGGGGTCGCCAAACAACGCAGTCGAACGACCATTTCACGGGGGTCGCCAAACAACGCCATTTTTCCCCCCCTTTTCCTTAGCTGTGCTACTCCCTTTTATTCTATTGGCTTTTGAAAGCCAATAGAATAGACTCTCTTGAATAGAGTCTAATTCTATTGGCTTTCAAACGCCAATAGGAATTGTCCAGGCTGTCTCTGCCCTGCTGAGCCCGCCAAAAGTCCCATTCTGCAAACGGTGCTGCACCAGTTGAGTAGTCCTCGACTTACGACCGGTTGAGTAGTCCTCAACTTACGACCGGTTGGGGGGGGGTCACGGCATTAAAAAGGTTGAGAACCACTGCCCTAAACGGCTCTCCTCCAGATAGGGGGCATTACAAGTCCTCAAGGCACAGACTGGCTAGGGGTGAGGGGAGGAGTAGGCCGGTCCAGGTCAAACCACCAAGTTGGAGAAAGTGGTTTAAATATAGATAAATCCTTGACCGATGATGAAGATCGAGATCAGAATTTCTGTGGTGGTCATAAAGCAAGGAGGCATGGGACCACATCACTTAGTGACGGCAATCGGAGCACTCCACCTTGCCGTCATTAAGTGAAGTTCACCGGCCATTAGCCAAGGCCTCACCCGAATCCAAGGCATCCCCAGAGTTGTCCTGCGGTAAGAGAGATGGCCAATACATTTTGCAAAGAAACAAACAAATAAATTAATTCCAGGCTTACTTCCTCCCAGCCTTAACCCTCAGTAAAATGAGATACTTCCTCTCCACCTCCTCCTTACCCACCGATCTTCCCTTAGCCCAGTGTTTCTCAACCTTAACAATTTTAAGGCATGTGGACTTCAACTCCCAGAATTCCACAGCCAGCATTGCTGGCTGTGGAATTCTGGGAGTTGAAGTCCACATGCCTTAAAATTGTCAAGGTTGAGAAACACTGCCTTAGCCTCTAGTCTTTTGACTGCTCTGCACCCCACCTTTGAAGGTGTCAAGTAACCCACAAACTGCACAGCTATGGCTGTCTCAAAGCTGCTTTTTCAAGAGGCAATGGACTTTCTTGTTTTTCTTTGAAGGTTTTTCGCTTCTCATCCAAGAAGCTTCTTCAGCTCTGACTGGATGGTGGGGAATGGAAGGATTTATACTCCTTGCTGGTCATTTGCCTTCTTTTAGAGCAGTGGTTCTCAACCTTTTTAATGCCGCGACCCCCAACCGGTGGTAAGTCGAGGACTACTCAACTGGTCATAAGTCGAGGACTACTCAACTGGTGCAGCACCGTTTGCAGAATGGGACTTTTGGCAGGCTCAGTAGGGCAGACAGCCTGGACAATTCCTATTGGCTTTTGAAAGCCAACAAAATTAGACTCTATTCAAGAGAGTCTATTCTATTGGCTTTCAAAAGCCAATTGAATAAAAGGGAGTAGCACAGCTAAGGAAAAGGGGGGAAAAAATGGCGGACTGCGTTGTTTGGTGACCCCCGTGAAATGGTCGTTCGATCCCAAATGGGGTCCCGACCCACAGGTTGAGAACCACTGGAATAGACCCTCTTGAATAGAGTCTAACCCCCTCATGACTCGTGGACTTCAACTCCCAGAATCCCTGAGCCAGCATGGCTCAGCTTGGAAACTCTCCTTTTTCCCTCAGCATGGCTGGCTCAGGAATTCTGGGAGTTGAGGTTCACGAGTCATAAAAGAGCCAAGGTTGCCTACCCCTCCCCTAGACTTTGACAGTCAGAAGGTCACAAAACAGGATCACAGGATTCTGGGACAGGGCAACCGTCATAAATAAATTCCTGTTGCCAAACCCAAGAATTTTGATCATGTGACCATGGGGGAAGGCTGCTTCCCCTTTTGACTGTGCGGGTCAAAAAGTGGCAAAAGGTGGTCTTGTGACCCTGGGACACTGCAACACCATCACAAATACATGCCAGAAATGGACAGACTGACACTAAAAATGAAAGAGAAAAAAGATTCAGAATAGTTTAGAACAGGGGTAGGCCACCTTCACTCTTTTATGACTTGTGGACTTCAACTCCCAGAATGCTGAGGGGAAAGGGAGAGGTTTCCAAGCTAAGCCATGTTGGCTCAGGAATTCTGGGAGTTGAAGTCCACGAGTCATGAGGGGGCCATAGTTCCCCCATGCTGGCTCAGGAATTCTGGGAGTTGAAGTCCACAAGTCATAAAAGAGCCAAGGTGGCCTACCCCCGGACTAGTGTAACAAAACCTCGGGAGAAGAGGGGTAACCTTGGTGCTCTCTGAGCTCGATTGTTTTCCTGAAGAAGATTCATTACCCAAACTAGTACTGATGACGTTACCTAGTTGGGTAATGAAACATCTGCAAGAAAACAAACAAGCTCAGAGAACACCAAGGACTCCTCATTTCAACCCTGAGCTACAAATTTTCCCCTTTCTCGGTACTTCCAGAGAAGGCCGGAAGTACCTTTTCCAACGCGATTGTATTACAGGACGTAAGCTTCCCTGACCTTGAGCTCACTCACAAAAGCTTCTGCCTGTTAATAAAAATTTGTTAGTCAGGAAAGGTGCCATTGGATTAGTCCTGACTTTTCGTTGGAGCTACAGGCGTCAGATCTGAGATCCATAAACTCCAGGGGCCCAGCTCCTCCATTTTAGAAATGCCAATTTAAAGCCAGAGTTAGGAGATCTGGCTAGGCCAGGGGTAGGCAGCCTTGGCTCTTTTATGACTCATGGACTTCAACTCCCAGAATTCCTGAGCCAGCCATGCTGAGGGAAAAGGGAGAGGTTTCCAAGCTGAGCCAGGCTGACTCAGGAATTCTGGGAGTTGAAGTCCACGAGTCATAAAAGAGCCAAGGTTGCCTACCCCTGGGCTAGATGACCTACAACAGGGGTCTTCAAACTTGGCCCTTTTATGACTCGTGGACTTCAACTCCCAGAATTCCTGAGCCAGCTTGGAAACCTCTCCCTTTCCCCTCAGCGTGGCTGGCTCAGGAATTCTGGGAATTGAAGTCCACGAGTCATAAAAGAGCCAAGGTTGCCTACCCCTGGGCTAGGCTTTCTTAGTAATCCCACCTTCCTCCTGAAACAGCAGATCCCTCCTTGAAAACACCAGGCGCTCCCATGCTCACCTGATCTTCTACATTCCCCAGTAAGAAGTCTTCTAGAAGCTTCTGGTTTTGCATCGGATCCTGGGTTGTGTCCAAGTGGACGGCATTCTCCTCATCCAAGATGGCTGCTCCTTCCTTCCTTCCCTGGTATTTCCTGCTATTCCCAGCCTGGAAGGCAAGAGAGACCTGGGGGACTGTTTGGGGGCTTGCTACGTCTCCTTCACACGTTTCCTCTTCCTGTTTCAGCGTGTCCTTCAGCTCTGGACCTCGCTTGGTCCACATCTTCAGGACCCAACACAGCTGGAATTTGGAGAGACGAGATGCTGAGATGAAAGTTCCTAATTCTGCAATATCAGTTGTTGGTTGCTTGGTAACACCAGATGGAAGATCCGGTCACTAAAGAGGAAAGACTGGTTGATTCCAGCCAGCCAGAAGTTCTTTCCTTACCTGAAAGAGGGAAAAAAATACTATAGTAACTTGACACAAAAAAGCTAGTCTTGTACAGGTAGTCCTCAAATTACAACCGTTCATTTAATGAGGATCCCGAAGTTACAATAGAACTGAAAGAAGTGAGCTATGACCATTTTTAACACTGATCCCCCTGGTCTTGTGAAAAACATTCAGAAGCTTGGCAACTGACTCAAATTTATGACGGTTGCAGTGTCCCGGCGTCACGCGATCATCTTTTACGAACTTCTGAGAAGCCAAATCAATGGGGAAGCTAGATTCACTTAACAGCTAACCACCCAAGAAAGCAGACCTCTTGAAACAGGCATTGTCTCAAAAGGAACTTTTATTGGGGTTTTCTGGAACCGTGAACTGAGATGCGTTACGGTTCTGATCCAGATAGCATAAACTCCACAAAAATGGTTTTAAACAAATATTTATTGTCCAGGAATCCTAAGCAGAGACTTATTTTGCAGTAGATACATCCGGTCATATTCATATCTGTCCATTCTCGTAGAGCAGTGGTTCTCAACCTTTTTAATGCCGCGACCCCCAACCGATCGTAAGTCGAGGACTACTCAACCGGTCGTAAGTCGAGGACTACTCAACTGGTGCAGCACCGTTTGCACAATGGGACTTTTGGTGGGCTCAGCAGGGCAGAGACAGCCTGGACAATTCCTATTGGCTTTTGAAAGCCAATAGAATAAAAGGGAGTAGCACAGCTAAGGAAAAGGGGAAAAAAATGGCGGGCTGCGTTGTTTGGCGACCCCCATGAAATGGTCATTTGACCCCAAATGGGGTCCCGACCCACAGGTTGAGAACCACTGTCGTAGAGTTTATGCTATCTGGATCAGAACTATAACGCATCTCAGTTCATGGTTCCAGAAAAGTAAAAAAGGGATAATTCCCCATCTCAGCGAGGCATGGATACGGATGCTAATCAATGTGTACGTGATGCTTGATAGACAAAGGAGTTTACCACCTTAGCAGATAGCTGGGACATCCTGTAATAAACTTTGAAGCCTCTCCCACTGATTAGATAAGACGTAAGACTAACAACTAGACTACATTTCCCAGAGGCCATCTCTTAAGGAGACAGCGTTTAACCCTTTAAATGCTAAATGCTCTAACACATGGCTTTTCAACCAGTGGTACGCGTACCACTTGTGGTACATTGGCACCTGGCAGGTAGTACGCGACCATCCTAGAAAAGTGGTAGCGGGGGAGGGGAATGAGCTGAACCGGTGGCAGCACCGCACAAGCCTGAGCAAGAGATGGCTGCAGCTGCAGGGCTGTCAGGGCTCAGCAGAATTGCCAGGATCAGTGTCGCTTTCCAGCTGATCAGCACTTCTTTGGGGCTGTCAGGACTCAGTGGAAATGCCAGGATCAGCGCCAGGCTCCAGCTGGAGCTCGGCGCTGATCTTGGTGCTTCTGCTGAGCTCTGAAGAAGCACCAATCAACTGGAAAGCAGCACTGATCCTGACGCTTCTGCTGAGCCCAGAAGAAGCGCCAATCAGCTGGAATGTTGCAGCATCTCCAGGGTCTTGTGATTTACATTCAGATGCTTGGCAACTGATTCATATTTATGATGGTCACAGTGTCCCAGGATCATATAAAATGACCAAAACCTGCAGCAACCACCCAGAAGATGGGGAGGGGGAATAAAAACCAAACAGCCCCCCATCCCACCCCCGCTGCCAATCCTGAACAGGAATGCTCACAACAGTGAAAACCTCGGACAAGAGGAAGAGCGCCACGGGGTGGGCAGGCAGGTGTCTTGCTCGGCTGTGGCTTGGGGGCACTTTTTTCAGTTCCATTGTAACTTCGAACGGTCACTAAGCGAACTGTTGTAAGTTGAGGACTACCTGTAACTTTATCACTTTTTTCCTTTTCTTTTTTTTTTTGATCAAGTTTTTGACACCTTGCTAGGCGACTGGTGGTACTCGGACGTTGCCATAGCCTAAAAGTGGTACAATGGGTGAAAAGGTTGAAAAGCCCTGCTCTAACGCAGTTCTTAATTCCTAAGCTAAACATATGCTCTGGTCAGGGTTACATACTGGTCCAGCGCATAGGGGTTAGTGACAGTAGGGAAGTCAAGGCGAGATCTGGGGAAAATCCTGGCTTGAACGATATAGTTAAACAGGCAATCTTCTTCCTCCCACCAAAATCATAGTGTCCATTTGAAATTCAGCCAATCCACAGATGGCACGATGTTTGGGTAACTGGCACGGTTGGCGTACACCTCAAGGTCTTCTCCAGCTTTCTTTTCTCCATAACTGTCTCCCCGATAAGGGAGGCACATTCCTTTCTCAAGTGGACAGAGGCGGGAGAGGAAAAGTAGAAAGCGAAAGTTATCCCAAACGAAAGCAAACCCCCCCCCCCCCCGAAAAATGGCAGGCCCTAAACAAGAGCACATATGCAGGGAAAACTATAAGGATTTGGGGACCTGACAGCTGGGATCCTGACTGGCTGAAGGTTGACTTAGCCTTCCATCCTTCCGAGGTCGATAAAATGAGGACCCAGATTGCTGGGGGCAATAGGCTGACTCTGTAAACCGCTTAGAGAGGGGTGTAAAAGCACTGTGAAGCGGTATGTAAGTCTAAGGGCTATTGCTACTAGCTCAGGGGTCTTCAAACTTGGCCCTTTTATGACTTGTGGACTTCAACTCCCAGAATTCCTCAGCCAGGCATGCTGGCTGAGGAATTCTGGGAGTTGGAAGTCCACAAGTCGTAACAGGGCCAAGTTTGAGAACCCTTGATTTAGACTAGTGTTTCTCAACCTTGACAATTTTAAGGCATGTGGACTTCAACTCCCAGAATTCCATAGCCAGACTTTCATGCTGTCCCATAGTGCTTTGCAGCAGTCCCTGGGCGGTTTACAATATTTACATTTTTTGTGCATAGGAAATGGTGTCTGTGACCTATTAAATTGCACTCTTTAGAGCAGGGCTAGGCAGCCTTGGCTCTTCTATGACTCGTGGACTTCAGCTCCCAGAATTCCTGAGCCAGCCATGCTGAGGGGAAAGGAGGAGGTTTCCAAGCTGAGCCATGCTGGCTCAGGAATTCTGGGAGTTGAAGTCCACGAGTCATAAAAGAGCCTACCCCTGCTTTAGAGGTGGCCTACCCCTGCTTTAGAGAGATCTATCCTGGTCTCTGAATACTACCTGTTTTAGCTCTGCCCTGGATTATTTGTTAATCTAGTGCAGGGGTACTCAAACTTGGCCCTTTTATGACTTGTGTGGACTTCAACTCCCAGAATTCCTCAGCTAAGCACGCTGGCTGAGGAATCCTGGCAATTGGAAGTCCACAAGTCATAAAAGGGCCACGTTTGAAGACCCCTGTACTAGCTTAACGACTGCAATGATTCACTTAACAGCTGTGGCAAGAAAGATTGCAAAACGGGACATAATTCATTTAATAACTGTCTTGCTTAGCAACCAAAATTCAGGGCCCATTTGCCCAGGTGGCCAAAGTTTGAGAAACGCTGCTTTAAGCACTGACTTGGTTACCTTAAGTGACTGGGAATTAAAATGGAGGCAGGCGAGACAATGAACAGATGCCGTTCCTATCGCTTCTTCCAGCCCATCAGAATAAAAAAACAAAACAAATGGGAGACGGTTGTTCAGGTCTCCATCAATCCCTTGCAGGCTCACAACCCCCCCCCCCACTGAGGATATGGTCCATTGTACAGCTACTCCTCGTCTTACAACCCGTTTGTTTCGTAGCCGTTCAAAGTTACAACGGCACTGGAAAAAGTGACTTTATGACCATTTTCCATACTTATAACCGTTGCAGCAACCCCCACGGTCACATGATCAACATTTGGAGGCTTGGCAATGGGTTTATATTAATGACGGTCGCAGTGTCCAGGGGAGGGGAGGGGTGTCATGGGATCCCCTTTTGCGACGTTCTGACCAGCGAAGTCCAGGGGGGAAGCCAGATTCAATGAACAACTGTGTTGCTAACTTAACAACAGTAGTGATTCAGTTAACAACTCTGGCAGGACAGGTCCTAAAATAGGGCAAAACTCACAACTGTCTCACTTCGCCACATACATTTTGGGCTGGTTGAGGCGTACCTCAGCTGAGGCCTACCTATATAATTAGAGCAGACTCCCTAACAACCTGCACCAAATATATATATATAAAGCAATTACAACTTGCCTCCAGAAGTTGTGAATGCTCTAACACTGGAGTTTTTAAAGAAGAGGCTGGACAGTCACTTGTCTGAGATGGTATAGGTCAGGGGTAGGCAACATCGGCTCTTTTATGACTCACGGACTTCAACTCCCAGAATTCCTGAGCCAGCAAGGCTCAGCTTGGAAACCTCTCCCTTTCCCCTCAGCATGGCTGGCTGAGGAATTCTGGGAGTTGAAGTCCGTGAGTCATAAAAGAGCCAAGGTTGCCTACCCCTGGTATAGGTTCTCTTGCTTGAGCAGGGGGCTGGACTAGAAGACCTCCAAGGTCTCATTCTATTCTATTCTATTCTATTCTATTCTATTCTATTCTATTCTATTCTATTCTATTCTATTCTATTCTATTCTATTGTTTTCTATTTTCTATTCTGTATTCTCTCTTCTGTATTCTCTATTCTATTCTATTCTATTCTATTCTATTCTATTCTATTCTACTCATGCAATCAATGAAGAAAACACACTGATGCAAATAACTTAAGAGGGGTTCTCTTTGCAAGGACCTCCCTCGTCTTGCATTTGTTTGTGTGTTGTGTGTGGAATGGGCTCTCTGTGCAATCAGCAGCTGCCTCATTGCAGCCCCATCTGCTTCCTTATGGAAGGCTTCGGCTCAAACTAAAACAGGGCCATCCATTGAAGCCTTAACCCTGTCTTGTTCCCTCGGATTTCATAGCTGTTCTCTTCCGCATTCTTGAATTTCTCTGTTTTCCCCCCTCCTCAAACTTAAGAAACTTACCAGATCCCGCCCAGCCATTGACCCCCAGGGTGGAAAATTTTTTCCTAAGGTAGAAAAAAAAAGGGAGGGGGGAGAAATAGTGTTAAAAGCAGGAAGTGACCTAAACCCATTTTACAACCCAGCTTCCTACAAGACACCCTAGGAATAGAAGACTCGGTCAATTTAACCCTTAGTGAGAATTTATCCCAGGAAAGCAATGTTCTGGGGAAAGGGTCTTTATAAAGACCACTGAACCAGATGCTCTCAAATGAAGCTGGATTGCCAGCCCCATCATCCCCAGCTGGCAGGCCCATATGCAGATTGCAGAGTGATGGGAGTTGTAGTCCAGCACATCTGGAGGGTAGTCAAGTCGGTAAAAACCGAACAGCCAGAGTTAAAACTTTGTGCATAAAATACAAATGCGATTTATGAAAAATGACTCCAAATTACGCCCAAGACTAGCTTCTGTGGTTTGTTCTAAAATTCTGGAGTTGTTTCCCCCTTTCAAGAGTAGTGGACTACAGAATACAATTATATTTAAAAAGAAAACCTGACACAAGTTGCATTTTTTTAATTAGAAACCATTCTTATACACAGTCTTATACACAGAATCATGCTACCTGCAAAATTTGGGTTTTAGAGTCCACATTTTCACTTGATGAAGAACTACAATATTGGCTTAATGCAGGATTTCCTGCTGCAATTTCCTCTTAGTGGTTTTCTTTTAATTAAGCATTTTTAGCTTACAGATCCACAAGAACACATGGATTTTGATTGGAAAATGGATATGAAATATTTGACAATACTATAAGCATCTAACAGAATAACAAGTGCTGGAAGGGACAGTAGAGGTCTTCTAGTCCAACCCCCTGCTCAATCAGGAGACCCTATACCATTTTAGACAAAGGGCTGTCCAGTCTCTTTTTAAAAACCTCCACAACTTCTGGAGGCCAGTTGTTCCACATTCTAATAATCCATCACAATGTATTAATTTTATAGTTCAGATTTACTGCTTATCTGCATTACCACCTAGTTCTTATTTTCTTTCAAAATAATGGGCAACATGAAGAAATACAGGTTGTCCTCAACTTACAACTCTTTGTTTAACAACCTTTCAATGTTACAGTGGCACTGGAAGAAGGGACTTATGCATTGCACTTATGACAGTCGCAGGATCCCCATAGTCAGGTGATCAAAATTTGCGTGCTTGGCAACCTGCATGTATTAATGATGAAATACAGAACCCCTGGGTCATGTGATCACCATTTGTGACACCGTAGCCAGCTTCTGACAAACAAAATGACAAGCTCAGAATCCAAAAAGATCTTGACAGACTTGAACAATGGGTCCTATCCAACAACATGAAATTTGATGTGGAGAAAAGTGAGGTTTTACACCTAGGCAGGAAAAACCATGGGTACAAGTACAGATTAGGCGAAACCTGGCTCAAAACCAGCAACTGTGAGAGGGATCTTGGAATCCGAGTGGACGATCACTTAAATATGAGCCAGCGTTGTGCAGCAGCAGCCAAAACAGCTAATACAATTCTTGGTTGTATAAACCAGTGGTCCTCAACCTGTGGGTCGGGTCCCCATTTGGGGTCGAACGACGATTTCACGGGGGTCACCAAACAATGCAGTCCGCCATTTTTTTCCCCTTTTCCTTAGCTGTGCTACTCCCTTTTATTCTACTGGCTTTTGAAAGCCAATAGAATAGACTCTCTTGAATAGAGTCTAATTCTATTGGCTTTCAAAGGCCAATAGGAATTGTCCAGGCTGTCTCTGCCCTGTTGAGCCCGCCAAAAATCCATTCTGCAAACGGTGCTGCACCAGTTGAGTAGTCCTCGACTTACGACCGGTTGAGGGTCGCGGCATTAAAAAGGTTGAGAACCACTGGTATAAACAGAGGCATAGAATCAAGATCACGCGAAGTATTAGTACCGCTTTATAAAGCCTTAGTAAGGCCACATCTGGAGTACTGCATCCAGTTTTGGTCACCACATTACAAAAAAGATTTTGAGACTTTGGAAAAAGTGCCAAGAAGAGTAACCAAAATGATTAAAGGCCTGGAGACAAAAAACATATGAAGAACACTTGCAGGAATTGGGTATGTCTAGTTTAATGAAGAGAAGGATGAAGGGTGACATGATAGCTGTGTTCCAATATCTCAGAGGCTGCCACAAAGAAGAGGGAGTCAAGCTATTTTCCAAGGCGCCTGAAGGCAGGACAAGAAGTAACAGGTGGAAATTAATCCAGGAGAGAAGCAACCTAGAACTAAGGAGAAACTTCCTGACAGTTAGAACAATTAACCAGTGGAACAACTTGCCTCCAGAAGTGGTGAATGCTCCAACACGGGAAGTTTTTAAGAAGAAACTGGACAGGCGTTTGTCTGAAATGGTATAGGGCAGTGGTTCTCAACCTTTTTATACAGCGACCCCTGGTCACACGGACGCGCCGCCCCCATGCGCGGCACGCATGCGCGGCGGCGCCCCCTGAAGGAGAAAAATGGCGCATCGCGTTGTTTGGCGACCCCCGTAAAATGGTCGTTCGACCCCAAATGGGGTCGCGACCCATAGGTTGAGAACCGCTGGTATAGGGTTTCCTGCCTGAGCAGGGGGTTGGACTAGATGACCTCCAAGGTCCCTTCCAACTTTACTACTACTACTATTACTACTACTACTACTACTATTATTATTATTATTAAATAATTGTTTAATTATTTGCTCATATGCACTGCACTGATGACACTATTTAACCATCTCATCCTCTGCCATCCCCTTCTCCTTTTGCCAGTATCTCAGGAGTTGCCATAAAGAAGGAGTCAAGCTATTCTCAAAGCACCTTAAGGCAGGAGAAGAAACAATGGATGGAAACTAATCAAGGAGAGAAGCAACCTAGAACTAAGGATGTTCTGAAAATGAGGACAATTAAGCTAGCCTTCAGAAGTTGTGGGTGCTTCATGTTTGGAGGTTTTTAAGAAGAGACTGGACAGTCACTTGTCTGCAATGGTTAGGGCAGGGGTAGGCAACCTTGGCTCTTTTATGACTCGTGGACTTCAACTCCCAGAATTCCTGAGCCAGCATGGCTCAGCTTGGAAACCTCTCCCTTTCCCCTCAGCATGGCTGGCTCAGGAATTCTGGGAGTTGAAGTCCATGAGCCATAAAAGGGCCAAGTTTGAAGACTCTTGTCCTAGACAGTCACTTCTCTGAAATGATATAGGGCAGGGTTAGGCCACCTTGGCTCTTTTATGACTCGTGGACTTCAACTCCCAGAATTCCTGAGCCAGCATGGCTCAGCTTGGAAACCTCTTCCTTTCCTCTCAGCGTGGCTGGCTCAGGAATTCTGGGAGTTGAAGTCCACGAGTCATAAAAGAGCCAAGGTTGCCTACCCCTGGTGTAGGGTCCCCTGCTTGAGCAGGGGGTTGGACTAGAACACCTCCAAGGTCCCTTCCAGCTCTATTCCGGGTGTGAATCTGATTCTGAAATGTGGACATTCCGCAACCAGCATGTATTTATGATGGTTGAGGTGTCCTGGGGTCATGTGAATGCCATTTCACATGACCCAGTCAGCTTCTGACAAACAAAAGTCAATGGGGAAAGCCAGAATCACTTAACGACTGGGGCAAAAAAGGTAAAACTTGGCATAACTCACTTAATGACTGCATCACTTAGTGACAACAATTCCAATTCCAGCTGTGGTTGTGAGTCGAGGATTAGTTGTATTGCAGTGACATTATTTTCAAGTTCGTGCCAAGGTTTAGATTCTTTTCACATCCTTTTTCTCATGATCTGCTAGCATCAAAGCTGCTTTTAGTGTAATTACACCCACCCATGTCTGGAAGAGTTGTTTCTGTTCAAAACCTGCATTTCACTATAATCAACCCAGCTGGTGGGCAAGTCAATCTTTTGACTTGAAAACACATATATTGTATATGTGTATATACACAAGGAAAGGAAAATAAAAAAGATGGGGGGAAGCTAAGTTACCACATGGCTATTTTGCAATTATAAAAACAATGAGCCACTGGGAAAAGATATCATTATTTTTATATGCTCAATTCATTGTTTTTAAATTGCTGTTGACCTATTTTTCTTAATGGTTAGTAATTTATCTCCAAAATAAGAGTGTAAATGTGAAAGCAAAGAAAAACTCACATACTATATCTAAATATTAACGGGATAAATCCTTCTTAGTGATCTGACTTCTTTTAAAGAACAGCTAACATCCAAAATAAAGTCTGTCCCCTTTAAAGTTTAGTGGTGTTAAAGTTGATCGAAATCCTAACTTTTTAGGAGAGCAAATCCGGAACAGTTTTTCAGTGTTATTACAAACTGCTCAGAGAATTTTTTCTATTAGACAGTAAAACAATAAAAACACACACAAAAAGGTACAATCCCCAATACTGTAGAGCAGAGGTCTTCAAACTTGGCCATTTTATGACTTGTGGACTTCAACTCCCAGGGATGCTGGCTGAGGAATTCTGGGAGTTGAAGTCCACAAGTCATCAAAGGGTCAAGTTTGCAGACCCCTGCTGTTGAGCATTATATTTATTAAGATCACCAAAAAGCTATTAATGGTTATGTAGCTTTTGGCAAAAATTTAAGTGAAATGATACAAAAACAGGGGAATACACAAACGACTCCCAGCTTAATCTTATTGCTCATCTGATTGCAAAATTTTTAACCTACTGGGATGGGTGTGTTTTTTTTCCCCCAGGGATTAACACACAAGTATCCTTGCTTTCGTTAAATCAGCATTTCTCAACGTTTGTGTGACGGCGACCCCCGTCACACGGACGCGCCGCGCATGCGCGGCGGCACCCCGAGGGGGGGAAATGGCGGATCGCATTGTTTGGCAACCCCCGTAAAATGGTCGTTCGACCCCAAATGGGGTTGCGACCCATAGGTTGAGAACCGCTGCATTAAATAAAAGGAATCCGGTTGTATGAAGACGTGCGGAGCACAGCTAATCCTGTTGGCCAATACTTGACATGTGGTCCCAGCCCAAATTAATATAAAGATAACTAAACCTCAGAAGGAAAATGGCACTTTTATTTTGAAAGTTGAACAGACTAACATTATCACCCTAACCCAGGGGTAGGCAACCTTGGCTCTTTTATGACTCGTGGACTTCAACTCCCAGAATTCCTCAGCCAGCCATGCTGAGGGGAAAGGGAGAAGTTTCCAAGCTGAGCCATGCTGGCTCAGGAATTCTGGGAGTTGAAGTCCATGAGTCCTAAATGAGCAAAGGTTGCCTACCCCTGCCCTAATCCTAACTAACTTTGAGAATTCAAATCAACCACACAACCAAACAAGCAATAGCACCAACCTTCAATCAGCCCACAGCCCACACACCTGCACTTCACCTTCAAATGACCCTCACCTGATGTGACCCACCCCATCACAAGACCCATCACAAGACCTACCGACCACACAAAGCAGTGGTTCTCAACCTGTGGGTCGGGACCCCATTTGGGGTCGAACGATCATTTCACAGGGATCGCCAAACAACGCAGTCCGCCATTTTTCCCCCCTTTTCCTTAGCTGTGCTACTCCCTTTTATTCTATTGGCTTTTGAAAGCCAATAGAATAGACTCTCTTGAATAGAGTCTAATTCTATTAGCTTTCAAAAGCCAATAGGAATTGTCCAGGCTGTCTCTGCCCTGCAGAGCCCACCAAAAGTCCCATTCTGCAAACGGTGCTGCACCAGTTGAGTAGTCCTCGACTTATGACCGGTTGGGGGGTCGCGGCATTAAAAAGGTTGAGAACCACTGACACAAAGCCCTTATAAGGAGAAGAACACCAGTGCTGAAGTTCTCTATACTTTGCTGAAGATGTTCCCTAGCCTGGTAATGAAATGTTCAGAAAGTAACCCATAAGTTCGGAGAATGAACCTCCACCCTCATCCTACACCTGAGCTACACATATTTGCCACTACTGTCATTTTGCAACTTTCCCAGCCTGGCTTCTGGCAAGCAAAGTCAATTGGGGAAAGCGGATTCAGTTAGTGACTGCATGATTCACTTATCAACTGCTCCAACTTTTTTTTTTCCTTCTCCCCAGGCTTTTGTTAGCAAAGGAGAAAAGAAAACTTAAATGCAGGCGAGTGTTTTCCTCTAGTCTCGGCTCACGGCAAGCTGAAAAAGTAACAGAAATCACAGATGCCAAATTATCCTGACCACACAGAGATTTGTGACCAAGACTGAATTTCTCACATTCTGCTGGGCTTTAGATTATATTCATTTGAAGAAATTTTTTTAGGAAGGCTTTCAGGGCAAAATCGTCCCCAAAATCAACTTTATAAAAAGCAATCGTGTATCTGGCCCATTTCAGCTCTTTATAACAGTCTTCAATCAGTACCTGGACCGGCAATGCAATGCCAGTTTTTCAACCCAAACTTGATGAGAAATTTCCAAATCAGCAATCAGATATATATATATATATATATATATATATATATATATATATATATATATATATATATATATATATAATATATATATATATATATATATATATATATATATAGCTTTCCCCAATCCCTTTAGATTTGTAATCCCCTCTCTCCTCCGGGAGTACATCCCCCGCCATTTTCATCCTCACCACATCCCTGTAAGCTGGACTGAAAGGAAAATGTGAAAGACTTTCCCTCAGTCCTTGCCCCCAACCTGGACCTGGTTCTCCAAGTCCAGCACCTTCCCCACAACCCTACTACAGCTAGTCCTCGACTTACAACAGTTCATTTAGTGACCACACTTGAAAAAGCGACTTGTGACCATTTTTCACATTTATGACCTTCGCAGCATCCTCATGGTCACGTGATCAAAATTCAGACGCTTGGCCAACTCATATTTATGACGGTTGCAGTGTCCCGGGTTCATGTGATTATCTTTTGTGACCCTTTTGGTAGGCAAAGTCAATGTGGAGGCCAGATTCACTTAACAATCGTGTTAACTAACAACTGTAGAGATTCGCTTAACAACTGTGGCAAGAAAGGTCGTAAAATGGGGCAAAAGTCATGCTGGCAGCCATGACCTCTGGCAGAAGCAGGCGATGGAGCTTCTCAGGCCTCAGTCAAGATGGATCCCAATGTTCGTCCCAGGAGATGGTCCTCCACAACCTCGGGACCCTCCACCCCCAAGACCCCCACCTCTTGGACCTGCAAATCCAACCAGATCTCTCAATACAAGTAGTCCTCGCTTTACAACCGTTTGTTTTGGGACCCTTTGGAGTTGCAATGGCGCTGACGTACAACCTCTCCTCCCATTTATGACCATCCCAGCATCCTTACCGCCACGTGATCAAAATTTGGGCGCTTTTCAACCGGTAGGTATTTATGACCAATTCCCCACCTTCCCAGCCAGCTTCTGACAAGGTAAATCAAGGGAGGGAAGCCGGATTTGTTTAACGACTGCATGATTCACTTAATAACCAGAAGTGATTTGCTTAACCACCGTGGCAAAAAAAGGGGTCATAAAAATCAGGAGAGACTCGCTGAACAGCCGCCTCGCTTAGCAATGGAAATTCCGATCCTCGTTGTGGTCATAAGTCGAGGACTGCCTCTATTCTTACTCTAACCCCCCTTCCCCTCCCCGGCAGGGCTATAGGGGAGCTGAGAACACGGAATCCATGCAATGAATGGGCACTGCAAAAGGAGCTGGTGCAAAGGCCACAATGCCAGGCAGCAACAATGCCCTAAGCTCGGATGGCATCCGGAGAAGTGAAGGGTGAAAGTAGGATCCTTTCTTGCAATCTCCCCAAGTGCGCCTCCCCGGTTTCGGAAATCCCCGCCAGCGATCTTTGGGGGGGGGGATCCCACCAAGAGGGCAACATCTGGGCTCCTTCCACCACCCAGCCATGGCTCTCCCTTGCTTTACCTCCTTTCTCCCTTGTAGCCCCGATCTCCTCCTCCGCTTTCCTTCGAGGCGCCGCCGTCGGAGGGGCTCCAGCCCTCCGGAGCGAAGCCGGAGCAGCAGAAGCTCCCGCGGGAGGAAAGGCGCTGTGCAAGGCGAGCCTTCCTCCCCGCCCCGGAGCTCGAGTGGTTAAAGAGATAGAGGTGCCACCCCTAGAAAAGCAGGAAGTAGCAGCCGGTGGGGGAGAGGAATGCCAATAGCACAGGGTAACTTCCGGCTCCTTTTTTTTTTCTTTTTCTTTTTGCGAAGCGGAGTGGTAGAGCCGGAGTCTCTAACCCTGGCAACTTTTAAGACTTGTGGACTTCAAGTCCCAGAATTCCTCAGAGAGAGCATGGCTGGCTGAAGAATTCTGGGAGTTGGAGTCCCCAAGTCTTAAAGGTGCCAAGGTTGGAGACCCCTGGGATAGAGGATTTTCTCTGCAGTGTGTGTGTGTGTGAGAGAGAGAGAGGGAGGGAGGGAGAGAAAAAGAGAGAGAGAGAGATCTGCGTATCTTGGATTAATTATACATATAAAAGGAAACTTGAGTTTTCACTGCATTAAAGAAGAAAGTCCTCTAAATGTTCGATATTTTTTCTTCCTTTCAATCATGATTTTTGGAGATTACCTGGACAAGTCCGTGTGTGTGTGTGTGTGTGTGTGTGTGTGTGTGTGTGTGTGTGTGTGTGTGTGTGTGTGTGTGTGTGTGTGTGTGTGTGTGTGTGTGTGTGTGTGTGTAGTGGGCAGCGTGCAAATTAAGTGAATGAATAGTATGTCCATGGAGAGTCTCAGTCACCCAGGTCATGGTTGTCCCAAAGCAACTGGACTTTCTTGTTTTTCTCTGAAGAAGTTTTGCTTCTCGTCCAAGAAGCTTCTTCAACTCTGACTGGATGGTGGGGAACGGAAGGATGTATACTCCTTGCAGGCAGCTGGTCATTTGCATCCTTTTAGCAAGTCAAGGCCACCTGGAGGCTTATCTATGTCGACAGGGTCACCTGAGTAGTGCAAATGGGTGTAGAGCCATCTTGGAACTGTTGAAAGGACTGTGTTGTAGACTGAAGATAGATGATGTCCTATTTTTTGTTTATGGATCACCCTCCCATATTGCTTTTTAGGGCTTTGGAACTCACCTTCCTCTCCCACATATACAATGGGAGGACATTAGAAGCTTGGGAAAATAATAATAACAACAACAAAGTTGGAAGGGACCTTGGAGGTCATCTAGTGAAGGGTCCTTTATTGGCTCTGTGCCATTCCTATTTCTAAATCTTAACTAATAAACACTTCAAAAGTTACCCAACAAGTATTCTGTTGGCTCTACTTCAATCCTATTCCTAAAAGTTAACTAATAGGTATCCTAAAAGACTTCTATTGGCTTTGTCTTAGCCCTAATTGTATCTTCACAATATGTCTTCTATGATATGCCTGACAGTCGGCTCTTGTTTTCTACATTGAAAGGGGCCCCAGCTGTCCACACTCCCTTTATTTTTTATTATACAGGCTTTACAAATGCACATCTCCCTTCTTTCTGAGTTCGTGCCATAAACTTGCATTTTTATAGTAAATGGCCCTTCACATCTAATTTGCAGATGACACTATACTGGGGGAAATAGCCAATACCTTACAAAATAGGCTCAAGATCCAGAAAGATCTTGATAGACTTGAACACTGGGCCCTGTCCAACAAGATGCAATTCAGTGGTGAGAAAAATGCGGTTTTGTACTTAGGCAAGAAAAAACAAATGCACAGGTATAGAATAGGTGGGTACCTGGCACAAGAGCATTAGCTGTGGGAGGGATCTCGGCGTCCTAGTGGACAACCATTAAAGTATGAGCTAGCAGTGTGCTACAGCGGCCAAAAAACCCCCCAAAGAATCCTACCTAGACTGTATCAACAGAGGGACAGAATCAAGATTATGTGAAGTGTTAGTACCACTTTATACAGCCTTGGTAGGATTACACTTTGAATATGGTGTCCAGTTCTGCTCACTACAATGTAAAAAAGATGTTGAGACTCTGGAAAGAATGCAGAGAGGAGCAACAAAGATGTCAGGATGAAACTTTGGCAGCTACATGCCTCTTGAGTTTTAACTTGCTTTTAGATTAAGGGGGTGGGAGTGTTATTTTCAAGTGGGTTAGATGGACAAACGAAACTTCGATTCTGCTGAAGACCGTGAGAGCCTGAAACCTTTTCAAGGACACCAGAACAGGTGTGGATTTGAAGCAGACAGTTCCCATAACGCAGTGTTTCTCTACCTTGACAATTTTAAGGCATGTAGACTTCAACTCCCAGAATTCCACAGCCAGCAATGCTGGCTGTGGAATTCTGGGAGTTGAAGTCCACATGCCTTAAAATTGTCAAAGTGGAGAAGCACTGCCATAACGGGTGGATGATCATTAAAGAGAGATTCAACCTAGAACTAAGGGGAAAATTTCCTAACAGTGAGCACAACTAATCAGTGGAACACTGGAGGTTTTTAAGAGATTAGACACCCATTTCTCTGTAATCCTATAGGGTCACCTGCTTGGATAGAGGGTTGATCTAGAAGACCACCAAGGTTCCTTCCAACTTGATTATTTTTTATTCTGTTACCCCTGAGCCGTAGAAGTGGGTTCCAGATGCATTGAAATGCAGCCACCCACCCCTATTACTCTCAGAAGGTGGGAGCTGCTGTTTTCCAAACTGGAAATTACATCAAGGAGCTTCAGAGTGCAAAATATTCAGTGCTTTTATTACTATTTGAGTATTTGAGTGGGAAGGTCCAGCTCTCCTGCAGTTGTGTCGGCAGCTTGCAAGTGCTTGAATTTTGATCACATGAACACAGGGGCGATGTCACACTTGCAACACTCAAGAAGTCCAGAAAACATCCCATTGTTTAGTTTGTGAATAGGTGAATTTTTGCAGGTTACCAAAAAAAGTCCTTGACTTACGACCACAATTGATCTCGCTGTCAGGATGAAACTTTGGCAGCTACATGCCTCTGCGTTTCAACTTGCTTTTAGATTAAGGGAGTGGGAGTGTTACTTTCAAGTGGGTTAGATGGAGAAACGAAACTTCTTCGATTCCGCTGAAGACCGTGAGAGCCTGAAACCTTTTCAAGGACACCAGAACAGGTGTGGATTTGAAGCAGATGGTTCCCATAACAAAGTGAACTTGTTTATATGGACTATGTAAAACATTGAGGGTTTGGCTGAGGAAATTATTGTTTAAGTGTATGAATTGGTGTTGGAACCTTAGAGTTAGTTTTGCTTTGACAATACTATGCAGTGTATTCAATAAACAGTAAGATTTTCGGAGATAAAATGAACCGGGAGTTTTATTCTGGATTCTCAAGCCGGATGTTGACACTCACCTTGCCAATCACTGACTGGAATCAACCCTGGATAAAAGAGATTAATCAGCACAACACCGTACCTCACTCGCACAATCCTGTCAGATCATGCAAAAGGATACGATGGGCAATGATATTGAAAATCAACAAGAGGTCAAATAGGACAGTGTTTCTCAACCCTAGCCACTTTTAGATGAGTGGACTTCAACTCCCAGAATTCCCCAGCCAGCACAGAATTCTGGGAGTTGAAGTCCACTCATCTTAAAGTGACTAAAGTTGAGAAACACTGAAATCAATCACCCAAAAGCATGAACAATGCCATGTCCAGATCTCAATCCGGAGGGTAACAGCGGTTCTTTTATGACTCGTGGACTTCAACTCCCAGAATTCCTGAGCCAGCCATGCTGAGGGGAAAGGGAGAGGTTTCCAAGCTGAGCCATGGTGGCTCAGGAATTCTGGGAGTTGAAGTCCACGAGTCATAAAAGAGGCAAGGTTGCCTAGCCCTGTACTAGAACTCTCTCACTCAAACAAGAATTCACCACCCCCAGAACCCACCCACTCAATTTAACAAGCCGGAATTGTCATAAAAACAAGGTGGCCCTTTATTATATCTTTGTGCCATTGCTTAAATCAGTGGTTCTCAACCTGTGGGTCGGGACCCCATTTGGGGTCGAATGACCATTTCACGGGGGTCACCAAACAATACAGTCTGCCATTTTTTCCCCCTTTTCCTTAGCTGTGCTACTCCCTTTTATTCTATTGGCTTTTGAAAGCCAATAGAATAGACTCTCTTGAATAGAGTCTAATTCTATTGGCTTTCAAAAGCCAATAGGAATTGTCCAGGCTGTCTCTGCCCTGCTGAGCCCGCCAAAAGTCCCATTCTGCAAACAGTGCTGCACCAGTTGAGTAGTCCTCGACTTACGACCAATTGAGTAGTCCTCGACTTACAACCGGTTGGGGGGTCACGGCATTAAAAAGGTTGAGAACTACTGGCTTAAATAGTGCATGTATTACCAAGATAAGTATTATTTGAAACAGAAACATCATTCTGGGTAATATATTCCTTTTTCTCGTAGAAATTCATCCCAACAGGGGGAGTTGTAATTTTTCCCATCTTGACACATCCTTCTTGATGTTATTCCATGCCTTACTCCAATTATTTTAAATCTGCATACAATTCATATTCAGCATAAAGATACTCAAGGCTTTTATTTCTGTCTCAATCTTAAAACCAGCCTTTCCTGTCAATTTTATTTGGTCTTCCATTTCTGTATTTTTGTGAACATCGTCCTCTTTGACTATTCATTTGAAAAGACCCAAATCCTTTATTTTTCCCATTTCTGTTCCTTTCACAAGGAACAGAAACTTACCACCAAGTCATCAAAAGATTCCCTACGTTTATTTCTTTCTCTTTTCATCTTCATGCCAGCAATTCCCTCATCCTGTCTTTTATCTCCATTCAATAGTTGAATATTCAATAAGCTCACTAGTGCTGAATGGGGGACCACCAGGAGCTTTAGGATGGGCCTGGAGGTAAATCTGTATCCAAGAGAATTTTTTTGTTTAATTGCACTGAAATCGCAAGACAGCTTCCATGAACTCCTTCACGTAAGGTGACTAAACAGGATTTCCTTCTTCTCTTCTTAGCAAGGATCTCAAGGGTATTCCCAGGTATGGTTGTGAGGGGTTGCGGTGAGGACATTTACATCAATCTAGAACAATTTCTTCCTCTGTGTGAACTTTCATGTGACTTATAAGGGCTGATTCGCGACGGAAAGATATTCCACACTCGATGCACTGATAGGGCTTCTCCACTGAGTGAATTTTCTGATGTTCTCCAAGTTGCGCCTTTTCAGCAAAACATTTCCCACACTCCCCACATTTATACGGCTTCTCCCCAGCGTGGATGCTCTGATGTACACAAAGTTCTGGCTTTCGAGAGAGACTTTTTCCACACTCCCCACATTGATAGGGCTTCTCTCCTGTGTGCCCCTTCTGGTGTCTCTGAAGTTCAGCAGACTCCACAAATCGTTTCCCACATTCTGGGCATTCATAGGGTCCATCTCCAGTGTGAACTCTTTGATGTCGCAATAGATTTGATTTGTGGGAAAAACCTTTCCCACATTCCGGGCACTTTTCCTGACATGTATGTGCTTTCTTATGCCTCCGAAGAGATGAACGCCAACTGAAACTCTTCTCACACTCAGGGCATGGATAAGAACCTCTTCCTGTGTGTATCTTCTCGTGTACCCGAAGGTCCGAACTGCGAGTAAAGGCCTTCCCACATTCCCCGCACTTGTAAGGTTTCTCACCTGTGTGAAATTTCTCGTGATTCCTAAGATATTCTTTGTGAGGAAAAGATTTCCCACATTCCTGACACTGGTAAGGTTTTTCTCCGGAATGAATTTGCTGGTGCCTCAAAAGATTTGCTTTTCTGGAAAAATATTTACCACACTCGAAGCACTTATGGGGTGTCACTCCGTCATGCGTTATGCGGCTGTGATTTCTAAGGGATGTGGAATAGGCAAATGTTCTCCCACAGTCTAAACATTTGTAATCTTTCTCCCCTCTGTGAACTTTCTCATGACGCCGGAAGCTGGCTATTGTAGGGAAAAACCTTCCACACTCGATGCAGTAAAAGGGCTTCTCCCCCGAGTGGATCTTCTGATGTTCAAAGAGGACTCCCTTTTGAACAAAGGATTTTCCACATTCCCCACATTTGTAGGGCTTCTCTCCTGTGTGGCTGCTCTGATGAATCCCAGTCTGTGTCCCTGAGAGACACCGTTTCCCACCCTCCTCACATTCTTTGTGCGTCATTTGGTGTTTTACAAGATCATGAGGATACAAAAATCGCGTCTCACATTCTGGGCATTTGTAGGGTCTCTCCCCGGAGTGAATTCTCCGATGTCGCACCAGGCTTAATTTCCAAGTGAAAAACTTCCCACATTCTGGACACTCTCCCCTTCCCGGAGCAGTGTGCTGACTCTCATGTTTCCGAAGAGAGGAAATTTCAGGGAAGGTTTTTTCACACACAAAGCATCGGTAAGACTTTATTTCTGGGTGATCCTTCCCATGGAGCCAAAGCTGTGACTTCTGAGGGAAGCCCGTCCCGCCTGGCCCGAACTTGTAAGATTTCTCTCCTGGGTGGATTTCCTGATGTTGAAGCAGCTCTGACCTCTGAGACAAGCCCAGTCTTTTCCGCCCATTCCGGCATTCCCGAGGTCTCTTTCCCTGGTGGATCCGCTGATGGGCTCCAAGGTCCGCGCCTTTAGCAAAACGCTTCCCGCACTCTCCGCATTTGTAAGGCCTCAGTCCAGGATGGCTCCTGAGATGCTTGGCAAAGGTCCACGCTTCAGGAAAGGATTTCCCACATGCCGAACACAGATGGGATCCGTTCCCCATGTGCAGCTTCCGGTGGATCAAAAGGAGAGACTGGTAAGCAAAGGGTTTCCCGCACTCAGAGCATGTGAAAAGTCTCTCCTGGTTCCTCTGAGGTGATCTTCGGTTGAAGCATTTCCCCCCTTGCACAGATTCCATAATTGCTCGCTTGTAGTTCCTTGTCACCAGAGGCAATTTGCAGGCAAAACATTGGCCTCAGGTTTTTCCAGGCTGCACCTGAGGACAAAGGAAAAAGAAGTGAGGAGGAAGATTTGCTCTCCTTCAGCTCCCAAAAATAGCTCAAATCAGGGGTAGGCAACCTTGGCTCTTTTATGACTGGTGGACTTCAACTCCCAGAATTCCTGAGCCAGCCACGCTAAGGGGAAAAGGAGAGATTTCCAAGCTGAGCCAGGCTGGCTCAAGAATTCTGGGAGTTGAAGTCCATGAGTCATAAAAGAGCCAAGGCTGCCTACCCCTGGCCCAAATGATAGATAGAAGACTCTTTAATGAGGTCTAGGAGGATGCCCAATTTCCTGTTACCGGAATCAATGTTGGGATCCTCCCTGTGGAGCTGATCTGAGATCTCCCCTTCCCTCTTTTAGCAAGAGGGGAGGGATGGCCTTTTTGACATCTTGCTAGGTGACTGGTGATACTCAGATATTGTCATATCCTAAAAGTGGTACAATGGGTGGAAAAGTTGAAAAGCCCTGGTCTAGATAGGAAGCAGACAAGAAGCAAGAGAAAAGCTTATACTATATATGATCAGTAATAAGAAAGTTTAAGAAATGTGATTCAAACATTCTGGATCTAGCATGTAGTGTGCAGCAAAATTTAAGTGATTTTTCCATTTGGATTAATGTATCCTTAAAGCAGTGGTTCTCAATCTGTGGGTCGGGACCCCATTTGGGGTCGAACGACCATTTCACGGGGGTCACCAAACAACGCAGTCCGCCATTTTTCCCCCCTTTTCCTTAGCTGTGCTACTCCCTTTTATTCTATTGGCTTTTGAAAGCCGATAGAATAGACTCTTGAATAGAGTCTAATTCTATTGGCTTTCAAAAAGCCAATAGGAATTGTCCAGACTGTCTCTGCCCTGCTGAGCCCGCCAAAAATCCCATGGTGCTGCACCAGTTGAGTAGTCCTCAACTTACGACCAGTTGAGTAGTCCTCGACTTACGACCAGTTGGGGGTCACGGCATTAAAAAGGTTGAGAACCACTGCCTTAAACAATGTGTTTGGAACCACAAAGAGGAGAGTAGTTGTTGCTAAATGTGTGCTCAATTTGTTTTGTTTTCTTTTAAAGCCAAGGAAAAGAAGGTAAACAAATTTGTGATGAGAGACAGTTTGGTTTAGTGCAGGGGTCTTCAAACTTGGCAACTTTAAGACTTGTGGACTTCAACTCCCAGAATTCCTCACTCTACTAGTTCCCCCCCCCCCAAGTCTCTCTGCCCCAAACAGAAACCAGGTCTGCAGAAATGCAGATGTGATAATCTTGTCAGAAAGAAGAGACTGGACAGCCATTTGTCCGAAATGGTATAGGGTTTCCTGCCTGAGCAGGGGGTTGGACTAGATGACCTCCAAGGTCCCTTCCAACTTTATTATTATTATTACTATTATTATTACTATTATTATTATTATTATTATTATTATTATTATTATTATTATTATTATTATTATTATTATTATTGGAGCCAGGAAGCTGGGATTAGAAAGATAAAGATCCCTAGAACCAATAATCCCTCACATCAAAAAAAATAAAAAATCATAGTAAGGATATGGAAGAGCATGGAATAACCCAGACCCTACATCAATTGGATAAAATTTTAACAGTTAAGGAAGGAAAATTTATAACAAAAACCTACAGATATTTATTAGAGGTAGATCTGGAGGAAGAAATAGTGAAAGGGCCAATGATCGCATGGGCGAGAAATGTGGGCCGAAATATAAATCTGGAAGAATGGGAAAGATTATGGAACATAAATTGCAAACTGACACTGTCAACAGCATATAGGGAAAATCAATACAAAATCTTCTATAGATGGCATTTAACACCGGCGAGATTGGCCAAAATGTACAAAAATATGAATCCAGAATGCTGGAAATGTAAAAATAAGGAAGGAACATTCTATCACATGTGGTGGCTGTGCCCCAAAGCAAAGAGCTATTGGGAAAGGACAGGGACCTGGATACAGGAGATAACCAAGGTGCAAATTGAATTCAAACCTGAACTATTTCTTCTGGGTATAATAAATTTAAAGATCAAAAAGCAACTCCAACACATCATTATACATATATTGACAGCAGCCCGTATAGTATATGCTCAGTGTTGGAAGGGTGAAAACATACCTACAAACGATATGATTATATACAAAATTCTTGAATGCGCGGAAATGAATAAACTTACGCTAGAATTAAAAGACAAGGAGGCAACAGAATTTTATGAAATATGGAACAAATGTTATGATTGGCTAGAACAAAGAAAGAAAAAGACATGATTGCTGATGTAAATAAATTGTAAATAATATATAGATGTATAACACAGTTTTGTTAAGGGAAAATGTATTTTTTCAGTTTTATTTTTGTTGTATAGTGGAAAAAAGAAAAATTAAAAAAAAATCCAACACTCATGAGCCACAGCCCCAAGGAAGCAGGATATGACCTTTGGGACATAACAGGATTAACTCACCACCATCAGAATACCAGAAAGGCACATTCAGACTCAGGTCAAAGTTCATGCCATAGGAACAACTCCAAGCAAAAGCTCAAGAAGGTATAAAAACCCACCACTCCCTACTACGTGTGGTCAGTTCACAAGAATATACCTACACAAACACATACCACGCCCCTCAAGCGTCATGCTAGAACAGTGATTCTCAACCTGTGGGTCGGGACCCCATTTGGGATCGAACGACCATTTCACGGGGGTCGCCAAACAACGCAGTCCGCCATTTTTTCCCCCTTTTCCTTAGCTGTGCTACTCCCTTTTCTTCTATTGGCTTTTGAAAGCCAATAGAATAGACTCTCTTGAATAGAGTCTAATTCTATGGGCTTTCAAAAGCCAATAGGAATTGTCCAGGCTGTCTCTGCCCTGCTGAGCCCGCCAAAAGTCCCATTCTGCAAACGGTGCTGCAGGTTGTCTGCAGCGAAGGCGAGCTGTCTGGAAGCTTCCACCCCTCCCTGCTGAGCAACTACTAAAAATGTAAGTAAAAGAGGGCCAGGGGTGGGAGGTGGGAGGCCGGCGGGTGCAGGGAGGGTTGCGGGCGCGCGTGGGGCCCGGCGGGTGCCTTACCTCCCTTGGGCTGGGCCAACTGGTGGCCCAGCCGGTGGTCGGCCTGCACCGTCTCTGCCGCTTGCCAGCTACGCCTCGGCCGGTGCAGGGGGCGGCACCACGCATGCGCGGTGCTCCCAGGCAGGGAAAGTCCTCAACTTACGACCGGTTGGGTAGTCCTCGACTTACGACCAGTTGGGGGTCGCGGCATTAAAAAGGTTGAGAACCACTGCACTAGAATCAAGCACGTAGACCAGTGGTCCTCAATCTTGGCAATTTTAAGACTTGTGGACTTCAACTCCCAGAATTCCCCAAGAAAGCAAAGCTGGCTGAGGAATTCTAGGAGTTGAAGTCCACAAGTCTTAAAAGCTGCCAAGGTTGAGGACCCCTGACCTAGACCAGTGATGGTGAACCTTTTAGAGACCGAGTGCCCAAACTGCAACCCAAAACCCACTTATGCCGGGTGGGCGTGGCTGCAGTGGTAACAGCAGACTGGGTGGGACTAAAAAGTTCAATCCATCAATTCCAACTTTGCAAGATCTTTTTTTTTTCCACACAAGAAGTTGAAATTGACTGATTGATTGAACCTTTTTTTTTTTTTGCACACGGCAGCAGAGGCCTAAAGCAAAAAGGTTCTATAAAACCCAGCTGAAGGCCTAGGACTGGGGCGACGGTGTGCATGCCCACAGAGAGGGCCCTGAGTGCCGCCTCTGGCACCCGTGCCATAGGTTCCCCACCACTGACCTAGACCCTTTTCCGGACAAGCTCTCCCTATAAAAATCTGCTGCTGCTGCTATAGCACCCGCCCCCCATTTCTTTGCAGTCTGTTCCTAAAGCAGGGGTTCTCAACCTTGGCAACTTTAAGACGTGTGGACTTCAACTCCCAGAATTCCTCAGCCAGCAAAGCTGAGGAATTCTGGGAGTTGAAGTCCACACGTCTTAAAGTTGCCAAGGTTGAGAACCCCTGTGGACCTAAAGGCAATCTGTTTTGCTTTTAGGAATAAATATTGCTTCTTTCTTTCACAGCTGTCTGGATCTCATTTGTATTTATTCTTGCGGCTTGAGTTGGAACCCCAAATGATGTTTCGGACAGAGGAGAAGCGAAACGTTTCCAAAGGGGGGAAACAAAACCCACGGAAGCCCAGTTGCCTTTGGGGGGGGGGGAACCCAAAAAAGCAGCTTTACATCGGACGGACCACAAAGAGCAACTTCCCCAAAGCGCCTTCTCGGAACCGCCCGGAGCTTGCACGAGGAGGCTAGCCGGCAGGCAGTGGAGGACCCCCCCCCCCGACTCTCATTTGCACCCCTTAATGGAAAGGGGGGGCATCCGTTCCTTGCAGGCAAACACGGATGCCGAATCTCCCCAAAGGCATGGAAACCGGGGCGGGCATTGGGAGCTGCCTCTCTCCTTGCGGGGAAAAGCTTTCCTGGCTGGATCAGCCTTACCTGGCCGAAGCGGGGCCGAGCAGCCTCCTTCGAGGAGATCCAGCGTCGATCCTCAAGGGGGTGCGAATCTCTCGAAAAAGGAAGACCAGGAAGAGCAGCGCATAAGACAGTAGCTGAGAGGGCGGGGCTTTGGGATCCGCCTCCACCGGACAGCCACGCCCCTCGGCAATAAGATCTTGGGCTGCCTTTCCCTCCCGTGGTGATTGGCCAGCAGGGACAAGCCTGAAAGCGAGATTGGCTCCGCCCCCGAACGTCCAAGCGGGATTTTCTTTTCCAATGCGGACGAGGCGAGGCGGAAGGAGCGTTCCAATTTGGGCGTTCGGGAGGGGGGAGCGCTGCTCCCTGGACTCGCGACTGTGGTAGATGCTGCCTGTCCTGAGGGGGGAGGCTTAAAGGAGAGCTCCCGCCACCCCCCTCCCACAAGGAGAAAAGTTGCTCTGATTTAATAATAATGATGATAATAATATTGATAAAGTTGGAAGGGACCTTGGAGGTCATCTAGTCCAACCCCCTGCTCCGGCAGGAAACCCTGTACCATTTTGGACAAATGGCTGTCCAGTCTCTTCTTAAAAACTTCCAGTGTTGGAGCATTCACCGCTTCTGGAGGCAGGTTGTTCCACTGGTTAATTGTTCTGTCAGGAAGTTTCTCCTTAGTTCTAGGTTGCTTCTCTCTTTGGTTAGTTTCCACCCATTGCTTCTTGTCCTGCCTTCTGGCGCTTTGGAAAATAGCTTGTGGCAGCCCCTGAGATACTGGAAGGCTGCTATCCTGTCCCCCCTCGTCCTTCTCTTCGTTAAACTAGACATACCCAATTCCAGCAGCCTTTCCTTATATGCTTTAGCCTCAGTCTCCTAATCATCTTTGTTGCTCTTCTCTGTCCTCTTTCTAGAGTCTCAACATCTTTTCTACATCATGGTGACCAAAAATGAATGCAGTATTCCAAGTATGGCCTTACCAAGGCATTGTAAAGTGCTGTTAATACACTTCATGGGATCTTGATTCTATTCCTCTGTTAATGCAGCCTAGCACTGTGTTGGCCTTTTTGGCAGCTGCAGCACACTGCTGGCTCATATTTACGTGATTGTCCACTAGGACTCCGAGGTCCCTCTCACAGTTATTACTATTGAGCAAGGTACCCCTTATACTATACCTGTACATTTGGTTTTTCTTGCCTAAATGTAGAACCTTACTTTTTTCACCATTGAATTTCATTTTGTTAGATAGCGCCCCTTGTTCAAGTCTGTCCAGATCCTCCTGTATCCTAAGCCTGTCTCCATTTCTCCATTTCTGCTTCAAAGTTCTGGCTGGATCAGTTGCAAAAAAATCTGACTTTGATTGCCTCAATACAGGTAGTCCTCGACTTACAACAGTTCATTTAGTGACCACTCAAAAGTTACAGCGGCACAGAAAAAACGACAGGACCCTTTTCCACACAATCCTTGCAAGCCTGCTCATGGTCACGTATTCAGATTTCAGACCGCTGGACAACTGGCTCCAATTTATGACGGTTGCAGTGTCCTAGGGTCATGTGATTTCCCCTTTTGACAAGCAAAATCAAGGGGGGGGGGAACCAGGTTCACTTTAACCGCCGTTTTGCTAACTTAACCATTGCAGTGATTCACTTAACAACTGTGGCAAGATAGGATCGTAAAATGGGGCAAAATTCACTTAACAAATGTCTCACTTAGCAATAGAAATGGGCTCAATTGTGGACGTATGTCGAGGACTCCCTGTAAACCTCTCCCTGTTCTTCAAAACAATGGTCCTTTTTTTGGCTTTTTCTTCTTCTTTGGAAGACTTTTGTTGCTGGCTCATCTTCTGACTTTTGTTCAAATCTTTGCAGTGTTTCTGGCAAGTGGTTAGAGCAGGGCTAGGCAACCTTGGCTCTTTTATGACTCGTGGACTTCAACTCCCAGAATTCCTGAGCCACCATAGCTCAGCTTAGAAACATCTCCCTTTCCCCTCAGTATGGCTGGCTCAGGAATTCTGGGAGTTGAAGTCCACGAGTCATAAAAGAGCCAAGTCTGAAGACCCCTGTCCTAGACAGTCACTTCTCTGACATGGTATAGGGCAGGGGTAGACAACCTTGGCCCTTTTATGACTCGTGGACTTCAACTCCCAGAATTCCTGAGCCAGCCTGGCTCATCTTGGAAACCTCTCCCTTTCCCCTCAGCATGGCTGGCTCAGGAATTCTGGGAGTTGAAGTCCACGAGTCATAAAAGAGTCAAGGTGGCCTACCTCTGGGTTAAATAAATGGTTTTGCCCGTGCTTCCTTTGGAAGAGTGATTAGAAAGAGGGACTGGGCCAGATTGTTGTCCCCAATTCGGCTCTGAGCCTGGTGGCTGATGCATAACACCAGACACGAATTGCAGGTTTCGTTGTCTTTTATTGAAGCGCTCCAAGAAAAAAAGGTCCTGAGTAGAAAATGCCAAGGAACCCCGAACAATAGAATTAAGAAAGTTTTACACATTTTCTCTAAAGCTGAAGGCGGGATAAGGTGGGATATATAAGAAATATCATCTAATAAACATTTCAATAATAATCTAACCATTATTCTATTAGTCTCTAGCAGTCCCTATTCCTAAGCCTTGGCTAATGAATGCTTCAGGAGTTGTCTATTACAGGGCTTTTCAACCTTTTCACCCATTGTACCAGTTTTAGGATATGGCAATATTCGAGTACCACTAGTCGCCTAGCAAAACTTGATGACCAAAAAAAAAAAAAAAGGAAAAAAGTGATAAAGTACAGGTAGTCCTCAACTTACAACAGTTCGCTTAGTGACTGTTCGAAGTTACAATGGCACTGAAAAAAGTACCCCCCCCAAGCCACAGCCGAGTAAGACGCCTGCCCGCCCAGCATTACTCTCATTCCCCTCCCCCGCTACCACTTTTCTAGGATGGTTGCGTACCACCTGCCAGGGTGCCAATGTACCACAGGTGGTACCCGTACCACTGGTTGAAAAGCCCTGGTCTAATACACATCCTATTTGCTCCAGGCCATCCCTGTTCCTAACCTTTAGCTGAGGGCTGCCTAACTCTTATCAGCTTTCTAACCACCCAGTATTTACAAGCTTTACATGTGTATATTCCCTGTGAATAAGCATTCTTTGTTCTTGCTAGACAAAGTCCACAAGTACAGGCTTCCTGATCTCTTTTGAAGTCTATGCCATAACCTTGCTTTGTTTTGGCATCCAGCCCATCAAAAGCAATCCAGCTGGCTGGCTTTGTGCTTGAGGTAGGACTAGAACTCAGGACCAGACTGATGCCTTAACCACTACAGCACATCAAACTGGCTCAGGTGTCCATTGACATGAACCGGGACACCATCGCTCCCGTCCTGTTCACAGGTTTATTTTTTATTTCAAATGGCTTAGCAAACTGCTGGACATAGGTATAAATGTCCTGCAGAGGCATTAGGGGAAAAAATAGGATTATTTCTTGATAATAGAAAAGAATGGGGATAGAGTTGTAATTCGGGAAGATCTTGAACCTATGCCAGAATGGAAGAAATCAGCAAGGCAGAAATTCAACAGGGACAAAGCAGGAAAAGGGGAAACTGGATCGAGAAACTGAAAAAATGTTTACGGATGCTTTGCTCCGTCTGATGCTTCTGTCAGAGCATGCAGTCTTATTGCGCTGAGGTAACCCAGGAGTAAACATAGTTAACAGTGGTTTGTAATTAAATGTGGTTTATATTACACATATTATTGCATCATCCACATTATATCTTTTACATAATTACTAAGCCGTCTAGCCTTTCAATCACCATCCTGACACTTTCCATTCTCTGCCCAAAGGCCTTTGCTTTTGTTGAACGTGCCCTTGCTGACTTCTTCCAGTTTGGCACCTTGTCAAGATCTGCCTGTATCACAATTCTATTCCCATCATTTGTGTCATCCACAAATAATCCTATCTTTCTAATGCTTCTTCCAGGACACACACATACACACACAAACTTGTTCGTGCGGCATCACTGTGGACATCTCTGCCTCTGACAAGAGAGCAGTAAAGATGTTGGCCATGAACTCAGTCGGGACTCATGAACTTTTAGAAATTGTAGCCCAGTTGACCTTCGAATTGAAGGATTAGAGGAAAACTGTTTGAGAAAAGGAGAAAACCTGCAGCCAGGAAAGATCTACCTTTGTCCTTAAAACTCTTTTTCACAATCACTACGTCTTAAAGTCTCCCTGGAAGATTTAACCTGAGATTTTGTTCCCTTCATCTTCTGTTATGTATCTCATGTCCAAAGACATGTTAAAATTCCTGGTTGTGAAAGCTTTTATCGACCAGGAAAATGTTTTAAAATAAATTCTTTTTATTACTTATCCTATCACTGAAAGTATAAATATGGAAGTAACGATTAGGAAAAAAAATACTATTAAGGGTAACCTCGTTTCCTCTTAGCAAGGATGAAAATCCAACCAAAGGCACAATAATGTAAGCATTAAGTAACAATGTTCTATATATCCAAGACTGCCTGGATTTTTAAATTACACATTTTTATTGCTTAAACTTACTGAATATCTGAATAATTTACACTTGTTTCAAATGTCTTTGCTAAAAATACAAGAGACTGTGAAGAAGTTTGTTTTCTCTGCTAACAAAGCCTTCCTTTCCTTCCTTTTGTTTTTTCTTTCTTTCGTTTCTTCTTTCTTTTTTCTTCTCTCTCTCTCTCTCTCTCTCTTTCTCTCTTTCTGACTTACTTGCATCCATAGAGCACTAGTACAGACATGTCAAACACAAGGCCTGGGGGGGGGGTGGATGCGGCCCGCGAAGGTGGTTTCACGTGGCCCGCGAAGCCATCCTGGAAACAGTGAGGGAACGGCCCCCGCTGCCTTGGCCCTGGCCCAGGCCGGCCGGGAGCCAATGTACAATTTTGTGGTGGCCATCTTGGCACTTGCCCCAGTGGACCATGCCTTGGCACTTGCCCCGGTCCCACCCCCTTCTGCCAGAGACCCTCAGATCTGTCCCACTCCTGCCCAGGCTCCCCACAGGCACCCTTGACGTGAATGATGTAGAACTGGCCGCGCCCACCCAGTAGGCCAGACCCACTCCATCCACGCCTACCCAGTAGGCTGCACCCACTCTGGCCACACCCACTCGCCCCCCCAGGGGCATCTGCAATGCTGATGCGGCCCTCAGTGAAACTGAGGTTGACACCCCTGCACTAGTACAACATAGGTCATTCGAGGGGCCCCAAGGACTGCCTGCACCCACTGAAGCTTCTGACATGCTCTCCAAGGGGAGCCCCATGTAGAACGCATGGCAGTAGTCCAAGAGTGAGATGATCAGGCTGCTTGGCAAGTCTCTCCTGAGAGTCCTTCCATGTGTGAATGTGAGAATATAGGCAGCCCTCGACTTACAAGTTCATTTAATGACCGCTGGAAGTTACAAGGGCACCAGAAAAAGCGAGTTATGACCGTTTTTCACTTAAGGCCACTGCAGCATCCCCATGGTCATGTGATCAAAATTCAGTTGCTTGGCAACTGGTTCGTATTTATGACCGTTGCACTATCCTGGGGTTATGTGATTCCCTTTTCCGACTTCCTGGCCAACACAGTCCATGGGGAATCCAGATTCATTTCACCACCACGTTACTCATTTCACAAAGGCAGTGATTCACTTAACAACTGTGGCAAGAAAAGTTGTAAAATGGGGCAAAAACGTGCTGAACAAACATTTCCCTCAGCAACGTATTTGTTGGGCTCAATTTTGGTCGTAACTTGAGGACTCCCTATACAAATAAGGGAAGGCAGAGGTTGTAGTGGAGACATTTATAGTTAGCAGTTTAAAGATTTGTAATTTTATCCTCTATGTCAGGGGTCTTCAAACTTGGCAATTTTAAGACTTGTGGACTTCAACTCCCAGGGCTGGCTGAGGAATTCTGGGAGTTGAAGTCCACAAGTCTTAAAGTTGCCAAGTTTGAAGACCCCTGCTCTATGTGAACTTTCGTATGTTTTCTAAGGGTTGATTCTTGACAGAAAAATGTTCCACACTTGATGCACTTATAGCAGACATGTCAAACACAAGGCCCGCAGGCTGGATGTGGCCCGTGAAGTGGTTTCATGTGGCCCGCGAAGCCATCCTGGAAACAGTGAGGGAACGTCCCTCTCTGCCCTGGCCCAGGCCAGCCAGGAGCCAAAGTACAATTTTGTGGTGGCTATGCTGAAACACATTTAGTCTTAGCTCCTTAAGCCCCCCCCCCCCCGCATGGCCTGAGAGGAACAGTGAGGCTCCTCCAATGGACCATGCCTTGGCACTTGCCCTGGTCCCACCCCGTTCTGCCAGAGACCCTCAGATCTGTCCCACTTCTGCCCAGGCCCCCACAGGCACCCTTGACACAAACGATGTAGAGCTGGCCACACCCACCCAGTAGGCCACACCCACTCTGTTCATGCCCACCCAGTAGGCCGCACCCACTCTGGCCACACACCCCCGCCCCCTGAGGGCAACCGCAATGCTGATGCGGCCCTCAATGAAATTGAGTTTGACACCCCTGACTTATAGGGTTTCTCTCCTGAGTGAACCTTTGGATGTTTCCAAAGTGCTACTTTCTGAGCAAAACATTTTCCACACTCCCGACACTTATATGGCTTCTCCCCTGTGTGGATTCCCTGATGGGCACGGACTCCTCCTGTTTCCCACATTCTGTTCATTTTTTCCGACTGCCGTGTGTTTTCTTATGACTCCGAAGAGATGACGTATGAGTGAAACTCATTCCACACGCTGAGCATTTATAAGGCTTTATCCCTGTGTGAATCTGCTCGTGGGCCCGAAGATCGTGGCTGCGGGCAAAGGCCTTGCCACATTCCCCACAGTTGTAAGGTTTCTCCCTGGTGTGGACTCTCTCGTGCCTTTTAAGATATTCTTTCTGAGCGAAATATTTCCTGCAGTCCAGGCACCGATGAGGTTTTTCTCCGGTATGAGTGAACTGATGCTTCAAAAGATGCGTTTTCCTGTAAAAGCATTTACCGCAGTCCGAGCATGTAAAGGACATCACTTCTGCATTTGTTCTATCGCCCTTAAGGGACGTCATTCCTACATGCTTTATGCGGCTGTGACTTCTAAGGGTGGACAAATAAGCAAACGCTGCCCCACAGTCTAAGCATTTGTAATCTTTTGCCCCTTTGTGAACCTGCCCGTGGCGTTTGAGGCCTCCTCTTGTAAGGAAAAACCTTCCACACTCGATGCACCGAAAGGGCTTCTCCCCTAAGTGGATCTTCTGATGTTCAAAGAGGCCTCCCTTTTGAACAAAGGAGTTTCCACACTCCCCACATTTGTAGGGTTTCTCTCCTGTGTGGCTGCTCTGATGAATCCCAATCTGTGTCCGTGAGAGACACCGTTTCCCACCCTCCTCACATTCCTCTCCTTTGTGCGTCCTTTTGTGTTTTACAAGATCATGAGAATACGTAAATCGCGTCTCACATTCTGGGCATTTGTAGGGTCTCTCCCCGGAGTGAATTCTCCGATGTCGCACCAGGCTTAATTTCCAAGTGAAAAACTTCCCACATTCTGGACACTCTCCCCTTCCCGGAGCAGTGTGCTGACTCTCATGTTTCCGAAGAGAGGAACTTTCAGGGAAGGTTTTTTGACACGCAAAGCATCGGTAAGACTTTATTTCTGGGTGATCCTTCCCATGGAGCCAAAGCTGTGACTTCTGAGGGAGGCCCGTCCCGCCTGGCCTGAACTTGTAAGATTTCTCTCCTGGGTGGATTTCCTGATGTTGAAGCAGCTCTGACCTCTGAGACAAGCCCAGTCTTTTCCGCCCGTTCTTGCATTCCCGAGGTCTCTTTCCCCGGTGGATCCGCTGATGGGCTCCAAGATCCGCGCCTTTAGCAAAACGCTTCCCGCACTCTCCGCATTTGTAAGGCCTCAGTCCAGGATGGCTCCTGAGATGCTGGGCAAAGGCCCACGCTTCAGGAAAGGATTTCCCACATGCCGAACACAGATGGGATCCGTTCCCCGTGTGCAGCTTCCGGTGGATCAAAAGGAGGGAGCGGTATGCAAAGGGTTTCCCGCACTCAGAGCACGTGGAGAGTCTCTCCCGGTTCCTCTGAGGGGGATTTGGATCAAAGGCTTTTCCCCGCTGCATTGTTTCTGGAGGCTGCACACTTGCAGTGCTTCGCAACCAGAGGCAATTTGCAAGCAAACCTTTGGCCAGAGGTTTTCCCAGGCACCTGCGGGATGAAGGAAAAAGAACTGAAGGAAAGACAAAGATTCATTCTTCATTCAGATCCCCAAAATATCCCAAACAATAGTTAAGGGGACCTGACCCTTGGAGGGATACCCAAAGCCTCAATTTCATTCCATCTGAAAAAATATGCTGGTATTCTCTCTATGGAGCTGATTTAAGAGGTCCCTTCCCCTTTCTTAGCAAGAGAGAAGAGATGGCTGACAGAATCCCTGTAGCTCCCCATTTGTCTGCCTGAACTGGGACGATCTCCGCCTTTTCCATTCACTCAGTTGGGGGCGGTGGTGATGCAGATGAGAGACCCACTGCAAGGACCCCCACATAACTTGTATGTGTCAAGAGAGTCAATATATGTAGATAGTATATACCAGGGGTAGGCCATCTTGGCTCTTTCATGACTCGTGGACTTCAACACCCAGAATTCCTGAGCCAACATGGCTCAGCTTGGAAACCTCTCCCTTTCCCCTCAGCATGGCTGGCTCAGGAATTCTGGGAGTTGAAGTCCACGAGTCATAAAGTTGCCAAGGTTGCCTACCCCTGGTATATACTATGTAGGTATTGATGGACACGGTTCTTTGGGCCATCAGAGACTAACATGGACTCCTCCTAGTGTTATACACAATCTTTAGGTCAAACCAGTGGTTCTCAACCTGTGGGTCGGGACCCCATTTGGGGTCAAACGACCATTTCACGGGGGTCGCCAAACAACGCAGTCCGCCATTTTTTCCCCCTTTTCCTTAGCTGTGCTACTCCCTTTTATTCTATTGGCTTTTGAAAGCCAATAGAATAGACTCTCTTGAATAGAGTCTAATTCATTGGCTTTCAAAAGCCAATAGGAATTGTCCAGGCTGTCTCTGCCCTGCTGAGCCCGCCAAAAGTCCCATTCTGCAAACGGTGCTGCACCAGTTGAGTAGTCCTCGACTTACGACCAGTTGAGTAGTCCTCAACGTACGACCAGTTGGGGGTCGCGACATTAAAAAGGTTGAGAAACACTGGGTTAGACCCAGCCTGACAGACTCAAACCAACAGCCCAAACCGTCTCCAATTCTCTCTAAGTTACACTCAGTAACTTAATCAGTTCTGAGCAAAGATGGATTCTCCATAAGGGTGGGAAGAAACCACCTGCAATATTTCAGCAAGCATTTCTAGTTTATTTGGTTAGACAAGTAAGGAAACGCCTATTCTCTGTGGAACAGAGATAAACAGAGAAGTTAGTGAAATATCCTTATCACTTCCTCTCATTATTGAACCCAAGGAATTTCCGCACATTTTATTGAAAGAAAGCATTGTGATACCCAGAGAGGCCAGAGCAAATTTCTCTCAGAGATTCGTTGCTCTATCTTCACCATCTTCACACACGCAAGGCATCTGTTTCCCAATTCCCACAATTCAAGACCACTTATGTTAGTCTGATCAACACTAAAATGGCTTCCTGTGGTTCCTTTACAGTTTAGGGAGAGTGTAAGTCTATTCATCAGGGTCAGCAATGCCTCATATTGGGGGTCAATTTCGCCGCCAATTTCCTGAAAGAGAGGCTGATGGTTTTGGCCAAAACTTCCACCAAATTGTCCTACCTGCCCAGGTCAGATTTTGGAATCTGTCTTCAACCGTGTGTTGCATCCACCCAACCATTGGAGTTATTCCTGCAAGGAGGGTAGGTGCATACATCTTGGGTGAACTAATCCTGGTTTACAGGGGGATCTTTAACTTTTGACCTGAAGACCCATCCTTCCCCTCGGAGGGAGTTTGCAAGGTGCAAAAGCCAATTTAACCAATCATGGTCTTTACGTTTTAGCAAACTTAAATGAAATTACTATATTTTTTTCTGCATTCTCATGTTTCATAATTTCTCCTTCGTTTCCATTCAGTGCTGCAGTTTGAGGTCTTTAGGGCTGTCCTGGCCAAGGCTGAAATCTTCCTCCTCTTTTTCACAACTCTCTCTTTCTCCCTTCTCTCATCAACTTGCACAAGATGTTTTTTCAAAGGGCAACCGGACTTTTTTCGTTTTTCCTGGAAGACATTTTTGCTTCTCCTCCAAGAAGCTTCTTCAGTTATGATGCTTCTTGGATGAGAAGTGAAACACCTTCAAGGAAAAACAAAGAAAGTCTAGCAAAACTGCATCCAGTTTTGGTCACCACGATGTAAAAAAGATGCTGAGACTCTAGAAAGAGTACAGAGAAGAGCAACAAAGATGATTAGGGGACTGGAGGCTAAAGCATATAAGGAATGGTTGCTGGAATTGGGTATGTCTACTTTAACAAAGAGAAGGACGAGGGGGGACATGATAGCAGTGTTCCAGTATCTCAGGGGCTGCCACAAAGAAGGGGGAGTCAAGCTGTTTTCCAAAGCACCTGAAGGCAGGACAAGGAGCAACGGATGGAAACTAATCAAGGAGAGAAGCAACCTAGAACTAAGGAGAAACTTCCTGACAGTGAGAACAAATTAACCAGTGGAACAACCTGCCTCCAGAAGTGGTGAATGCTCCAACACTGGAAGTCTTTAAGAAGAGATTGGGCAAGCATGGTATAGACCAGGTTTCCTGCCTGAGCAGGGGGTTGGAATAGATGACCTCCAAGTTCCCTTCCAACTTTATTATTACTATTATTGTTGTTGTTGTTAGTTGCCGTTTGAAAAAAAAAGCATTTTAGGGACAACCACGACCTGAATGACTGAGGATCTCCAGACAGACATTACATTTGCACAAATGGAGAGAAACGGACGTCCAGAGACTTTCTGCTCAAACGGAGCACAGAGAAACCTTCTGAAAGCAACTGCCCCAAAAGCTTCTTTCCGGATCCACCCGGAGCCTCAGAGGGATCCTGGGACGGGCGAGGAGGGGGCAGATCCAGCCCGGGGAGGGACCCCCCCTTTGCCCCCCCGGAGGGAAGGGAGGGATCCGCTCCCTGCAGGCGACGCCAGAGCCGAATCTCCCCAAGGAAAACCCGGCAAGCCGAAGAGCGGGATCCGCAGCTACCTTTCTCCCGGCGGGGGGGGGGGGGGAAGCTCTCCTACCTGGCAGAAGCGCGAACGAGATCCTTCAAACGATCCAGCATCGAGAGATTCCCGGGTAGACGCGGAAATGCATCGCGGAATATGGTAGCGATGGGGGCGGGGCTTCGGGCCTCCTCGGGCTCCGCCTCCTCCAGGCAGCCACGCCCCTTGCAATTAGATGGGGGGGGCTACCTTCCCCTCTTGGGAAGAGTCAAATCTGTCTGTTCTTATTCAAAGAAATGGCAAAATTCCTGGTTGTGAATGTTTTTATCTACCAGGAAAATATGTGTAAACAAATCCTTTGGTTACTTATCCAGGGGTTCTCAACCTTGGCAACTTTAAGACTTGTGGACCAACTCCCAGAATTCCTCAGCCAGCAGCTGGCTGAGGAATTCTGGGAGTTGAAGTCCACAAGTCTTAAAGTTGCCAAGGTTGAGAACCCCTGATTATTATTAGTCTTATCCTATCAACGGAAAGTACAAATATGGAGGTGATGATTAGAAAAAATATATAAATATAAAGGGATGGCTGAATTAAAAGGTAACCTCTTTTTCAAGCAAAGGCAGAATAAGGCAAAGATGAAACAAGAATGTTCCATATATCAAAGATTTGCAAGGATTTTTAAAATTACGTTTTATTCACTGCTTGGCGTGTACTTGGCACCTGAGCAGTTTACAGCGGCTTCAGCTTTCTTCCAGAGATCTACAAATCAAGAGGTTGATTTCTATGTCAGCGAAGGTTTTTAATATTCTGTGTTGCCTATATATGTTTGTGATATAAAGTGATAGATCCATCGCTTTACTTCTTTCCTGGATGGTATTCTATCTTGTCATGGTGAATGTTTGTGATATCTATTTTGTTTTTTTAAAAATATAAATTATGTATATGCGCTTAAGAAACTTTTTAAACTTTCAAAAAATAAGAAAAACGTTATTTTTTTAAAAAAAAACTAAAAATACAAACAAGAAAAGAAGGCCAAAAAAAAATATCTACCTTTATAATGTTTACTTATCAATACTCACTGTTCACTTAGTTCAGGCATAGGCAACCCTGGCTCTTTTATGACTCGTGGACTTCAACTCCCAGAATTCCTCAGCCAGCCATGCTGAGGGGAAAGGGAGAGGTTTCCAAGCTGAGCCATATTGGCTCAGGAATTCTGGGAGTTGAAGTCCACCAGTCATAAAAGAGCCAAGGTTGCCTACCCTTGTCCTATATCATATCAGAGAAGTGACTGTCTAGGACAGTGTTTCCCAAACTTGACAATTTTAAGGCATGTGGACTTCAACTCCCAGAATTCCACAGCCAGCGTTGCTGGCTGTGGAATTCTGGGAGTTGAAGTCCTCATGCCTTAAAATTGTCAAGTTTGGGAAACACTTGGTCTAGGACAAGGGTCTTCAAACTTGGCCCTTTTATGGCTCATGGACTTAAACTCCCAGAATTCCTGAGACAGCCATGCTGAGGGGAAAGGGAGAGGTTTCCAAGCTGAGCCATGTTGGCTCAGGAATTCTGGGAGTTGAAGTCCACAAGTCATAAAATGCCAAGGTGGCCTACCCCTGACTTAGTTGTTGACCAGGAATCTAGTGTCTCTGTGGACATCCTTGAGGGAGCAAATGTGGCTATGTCATCATTGCCTTTGCATTTGTAGGCCTTCAAGCTCATGGAAACTTCCTCAGGAAACACCTAACCTCCCTGAGATAACACTTGGCAGACCTCCAACGGAGGTGGATGACTGTTTCTTTATCTTATCTAGACTGTGCCAGCTTGTCTGGGTGGAGTGTGCCAGTGCTTCTAGGTGAAGAAATGGACAACATAGCATTGTCCAAACATATAAATACGAGGGTTAAAGTGTTGCAGAAAATCACAAGACTCAGACCCCGGAATCAAAAGAAGTTGGTTTTATTTGCGCAAAGGTTCAGAGCAATATAGTCGTAGCAACATCTGAACCCCTTCTTATGGAACAACAAGTACATATATACTTCAGAAGCAGCCAAACACGGAAATGTAACTTGTTAGCATTAATTGGTTACTTGAATTACAACCCCCTGTTGCTATGCTAAAGTAGCTAAACATCTTGCTCCCCTCTGATCGATCAAAGTCACAGGTGTCTTGCCAAAGCATCTAAGTTTCCGGCAGTACATTTGTGGTTAGTTACAAGCAAGACATAAGACATATGTGATTACCTGTAATAGAGCTTCATGCTTGACACTCATGTGTGACCAACAGATGAACTTGTGGTTTGACAAATTTCTCACTTAGGAACAGAAAGTTCAGGTTCCCTTATGGCTGTAAGTTGAGGACTCCCTGTATACCGAGAGCTGAAGATATTGTAAAATATTACAGAATAATTACCATAATAACCTATCTTGCTAAATTCCTTGGCTAATACAAAATACTGCCTTTTCCAAAACAGGGGTGCAGAGCTGAGTTAAGGAGGAGCGGGGGGGAGCAGATATTTGTACTCCAGCAGTACTTTTACCAAAGGACTTCCTGTGGGGTCAGGAGGAGCGCAGAGACTGCTGGGACGAAAAGGTGAGGCAGGTAAACCACCTCCTGGAGGACATGCGGGAGGTTTTGGGTAACCTCCAGCCATCTGATGGATCATGGAAATGGTTTTACCTTAAATGTTTCTGTTTTGGTGTGGTGATTTCTGTTATACAATCTTAACACAAAGATATAAGAATATTGGGGAAACATTTAAGGATGCCCACCCACTATACAGTAGTGGCCAAAATTGTGGAAACCTTTTGGGAAAAGTGTATTTTTGAGGTTTGATGGCTAATAACACTTATTTTTGGAGTAGTACCATAAAATCAAGTATCAATGGAAAGATAATTTAATCAAGAATGTAATGCAACGTAAGTTTGTTCAATTATCTGTACTGTATTCTATGAAAGGTTAGAGCAGTGGTTCTCAACCTTTTTAATGCCGCGCCCCCCAACCGGTCGTAAGTCGAGGACTACTCAACCGGTCGTAAGTCGAGGACTACTCAACTGGTGCAGCGCCGTTTGCAGAATGGGACTTTTGTTGGGCTCAGCAGGGCAGAGACAGCCTGGACAATTCCTATTGGCTTTTGAAAGCCAATAGAATTAGACTCTATTCAAGAGAGTCTATTCTATTGGCTTTCAAAAGCCAATAGAATAAAAGGGAGTAGCACAGCTAAGGAAAAAGGGGGGAAAATGGCAGACTGCGTTGTTTGGCGACCCCCGTGAAATGGTCGTCCGACCCCAAATGGGGTCCCGACCCACAGGTTGAGAACCACTGGGTTAGAGCCAAATAACCGAAAAAAGGAAGCACAACTTGCTTAGGTTGATATCGGGTACCTTTCCTTCATCTGATTGTAGCCAATGAGCATGAGTGTTTAGAGCAGTGGTTCTCAACCTGTGGGTCGCGACCCCTTTGGGGGTCGAACGACCCTTTCACAGGGGTTGCCTAAGACCATCGGAAAACACATATTTCCGATGGTCTTAGGAAGCGAGACACCGCTCCACTATCCATCTCCGCACGGCTTCGAGCTGGGGGCCATTGCAGAATCGGATTCATTTCCGTCAAGCATCTCCTAAGGGAGGTTGCGCTGCTTAGCGTCCCTGTCTGCAGAGGAGGCTGAACTAAGCTCTGCCGGCGCTGTTGCCCTCTTGGCTCTCTCTCTCTCCCCGCCTGGGCGCTTCTCCAACCAGGCTGGGCAGAGCCAGTGGAGCGGCCTTCCTGCCACCCCTCCCTGGCCATCTGGAGCCGGGCAGGCTGGCAACCTTCGGAAGTGAGGCGAGGTGCACTGAGCCCTGGGCGTGGCGGGTGAGTGGGCGGTGTCGGTGCGCTTGGAGACCCCTTAGGGTTGGGGGGGTCACCACAACATGAGGAACTGTATTAAAGGGTCACAGCATTAGGAAGGTTGAGAACCACTGGTTTAGAGAGCCAATCAGGTGTCATCTTGTTTTGGCAATGAGCCAATCAGATCATAGTAGGATTCAGTTATTGATGTCATGTATTGAAGCTGAGAGGAGGACATTTGTCAACGTGTTATGTGATCGCTATCAAGTTGGTTGGGGTTTTTGTGTGTTCTTTCAGTTAGTGAGCTTGTAAAACGTAATAAAATTGAAGTAATGGTGCAAAGAGTTGACTGGTCACCCGGAAAGCGATGTAAAATAGTATTATTAAGTGAACAAGGCTACAGCTATAAAGAAATTAGAAGAAAAATGGGTGGAGACTTAACCAAAGGTGGCATTTCTACTGTACACTTTTCCCAAAAAGGTTTCCACAATTTTGGCTACTGTATGTATATACCTACCCTCTTACATAAATATACATATAAATATTAATCATTGTCCATCCTGAATACATAGCAGAAAGAGGAAGCTTGAGAGTTCACAAGGCTGATACAGGATGGAATGAAGCTCTGACTGAATCTGGATGTTCTGCTTCAGATGCCACGAAGCCCCCTCCTCCCGGAAGGGAACAAGGAAAACAGGTTGTGAAGAGGATGTGTAGTGTCTCAGACAATACTGTGGACCCTGCTCAAGCAACGCTTATATGCTATGTCCTGGAGTGAACTGCCAATGATCTTTTCTGCCATCCTCACCACTCTCTGCACTGCTTTCCTGTCTGAAGCAGTGATGCTTCCAAACCAAACTCTAAATGAAATAGCAATAGCACTTAGCAGTGTTTCTCAACCTTGACCATTTTAAGGCATGTGGACTTCAACTCCCAGAATTCCACAGCCAGCATTGCCTTAAATTCCACATGCCTTAAAATGGTCAAGGTTGAGAAACACTGACTTAGACTTATATGCTGCTTCACCGTGCTTTACAGCCCTCTCTAAGCGGTTACAGAGTCAGCATATTGCTCTCAACAACCTGGGTCTTCATTTTACCGACCTCGGAAGGATGGAAGGCTGAGTCAACTTTGAGCAGGTGAGGATTAAATTCTTGGCAGTAAACTGAATTATCCTGCAATCCTGCATTCTAACCACTGCACCACCCGGGCTCCAGCCTTAACATAATTATTTTGAAATCACATAAAAATCTAGGCCAGTGGTTCTCAACCTGTGGGTCGGGACCCCATTTGGAGTCGAACGACCATTTCACACGGGTCGCCAAACAACGCAGTCCACCATTTTTTCCCCCTTTT